TAAAACAAAACAAACAAACCCCACCTCTCAGGAGAGGCTCGGGCTCCCCAAATGCTGGTATCACTGGTTTGTGTCACCGTAAGCCAGGCAGAAATACCTTGAATGTTTCCTCCTCCTCTTCCCCAATTCTCCCCCACCCCCTTTTTTCTTGATAGTCCTTTAGTTCTGTTTTGTGTCTAGAATATCTTGACTTTTACAAGCTGGCTTTTAGAGAACTGGAGACATGGTTCAGGGGGTAAAAGCACATGACCAGAGTTGGTTCCCAGTTCCCACATCAGACGCCTGAAACTGCCACTCCAGGAAATCTAACATGTCCTCTGGTCCCCAGGCACCCGCACTTGCATGCACACACATAATTAAAAAGAAAACATTTAGGCCGGGCGGTGGTGGCACACATCTTAAATCCCAGCACCCAGGAGGCAGAGCAGATGGATCTCTGTGAGTTTGATGTCAGCCTGGTCTAAAAAGCTACACGGAGAAACCCTGTCTCAAAAATTAATTAATAATTTTTTTTTTTTAAAAGCTGGCATTTGAAACCAACAGCGTTTTGCAAGGACTATGTGGCTCAATTGTAGCATAGTTGCGTAGGATAGCAAAGCCCTAGGTTAACCCAAGAAAGTACAAATAGGAAAGCCATAGATTAACCCCACAGTAGTATAAAAAAAACTGGGGGTGAGGGCATCATGCAGGTCAAAGGGAAAAAATGCCCGTGTGCAGCCTCTAAGACTGTGCTGAGTGGGGCTTTTCCACAGTGGCCTCTGGTAGAACTGGGTCTGCTTCTTTTTCCTCAGAGCTGTGAGGGGCTGCAGAGACAGGGCCTCAGGTTTCAGCCTCTATCCTGTGGCATTGAAATGGCCCAGGATGAACACTAAGTTTTACATAGCAGAATAGAGCCTCCAGTCTTGAGGGCTAGCTAGCGAAGTCCTAGATCTCTCGTGCATCCCACGAGACGTGACCAGTTAAATGTACTTTTTGAGCCATCCTAAGTATCACAAAACATTGTCTTTTTCGTAAGACATCACACAAGTGCTAATGCCTGGATGGACAGTAGACAGGACATTTTGGAAGATGGCTACATAATTAAGCTAGTAGCTGGGAGGAGCAAGCTTCAGCTGGAAGAAACCAGGAAGACAGCATGCTCCAGTGGATCTGCCTCGCTGGGTTGAGGAGAAGGAATGCCGATGTTTTCTGGAAGTTGTGCTGAGGAATTGGAGTTGAGAAATACACATTGCCATAAATGGTCAGCTCCTGCTCAAAACAGTTGCGCTCACCCCCGGGCTTCCGGACCTCACACTGGAAGTTTCAAGTGAAGTATGTTTCTGACCTTTCCATCAGATCCCTGGAGGAGCAGGTCAGCAGAGTTTCCCATTACAAAGAGACGTGAATCTCTGGGTGCTGTTCCTTAGATGGCAAAGTCACTACTAGTAATTATATTAGTAATGTTGTTAGAATGCTTAAGTTTTCAATTAAAAATGTTTTTTATTATTTTATGTGTATGGGGGTTTAGCCTATATGTAGACTGTGCAAATATACATGCAGTTCCCGTAGAGGCCAGAAGAGGGCATCAAATTCCCTGAATTGGAGTTTTGAGAGCTTGGGAACCACAATTGGGTGCTAGGAATCAAACCTGGGTGTTCTGCAATAGCAGCTTTTTTTTTTTTTTTCCCTATTCTATATTTCTTTGGAGGCTGTCCTGGAACTCACTCTGTAGACCAGGCTGGCCTCGAACTCACAGAGATCCCCTGTCTCTGCCTCCCAAGTGCTGGGAAAAGGTGTGCGCCACCAACGCTTGGCTGTAGCTAGTGCTTTTTTTGTTTGTGTTTGTTTTCTGAATTACACTGATTCTGGGACTGGAGTTACAGATGATTGTGAGCCATCATGTGGATGCTGGGAATAGAACCTGGGTCTTCTGCAACGGTAGCCAGTGCAGCAAATGCTCTTAACTTCTGACCCTCTTTCCAGCCTGCTTGGTAAATCTTCGGGGTCTTGGTTTGACATGAATTTCCTGAACATTTAAGCTGCTTTAGAATCCACAGTGATGCTTTCAACCGTATGGTACCCTGTGCTTTCCATTCCACACGGCTAGTGTTTGTGATCTCAAGCAGAGCTCTTAACTGGCAAGCCCTGGCTTCCATCTCCAACACTTAGGGAGAACACTCAGCGCCTCTTGTCCAGGCTGTCAGAATCAGACCTACCCTCTGTCAGCAGACTGGGGGCAGACCTGTGTATCTGACATACTTAATGACTGAAAACTTGGAACTGCTATCTGCTGTCCATACTCCAAGACCAGGAGCTAGCACATTCCAGCCTGTTCAATGTGGTGGAACTTTTCTGACACAATTTTTCTGGTATTTCTTTTCCTTCTTTCTTTTTTTCCCCCTAGAGTTTCTCCATGTAGCCCTGGCTATTCCAGAACTCACTGTAAACCAGTCTGGCCTCAAATTCACAAGATCACTAGCCTCTGTCTCCAAGTGCTAGGATTAACTGAGGCGAGGTCTTTTTTTGTTTTGTTTGTTTTTCAAGACAGGGTTTCTCTGGGCTTTGGAGGCTGTCCTGGAACTAGCTCTGTAGACCAGGCTGGTCTCGAACTCACAGAGATCCGCCTGCCTCTGCCTTCCGAGTGCTGGGATCAAAGGCTTGTGTCACCACTGCCTGGCTGAAGCGAGGTCTTTTAATTAGTGACAAAAATGTACATCCACCATAGCAAATGGCATGCTGGGACGTTGTACAATGCCACTCTGTCAGAACAACTGGAAAAGCCAGTGTCATTCCCACTAGATTCCTGCTTCTGTGATGTTCACACGCCAGCAAGAATCTGTGTACGTGTGTACGTGTACGTGTGCGTGTGCGTGTGTGTGTGTGTGTGTGTGTGTGTGTGTGTGTGTGTTTTCAAGGATGGAGCATTTAAAATTATCCACACTGCCAGAATTAGTGGAATATGCCTTTATCCCAAAACTCAGGAGTAAGTTCTAGGCCAGCCAGGTCTACACCGTGCTAGTCAGAGCTACATAGTGAGACCCTGTCTTAAAAAAAAATAACAAGCTGGGCAGTGGTGGCAAATGGCTTTAATTTCAGCACTTAGGAGGCAGACAGAGGCAGGTGGATCTCCATGAGTTCAAGGCCAGCCTGGTCTACAGAGAGAGTTCCAGAGAGACAGCCAGAGCTACACAGAGAGACCCTATTACGAAAAAACCAAAACAAACAAAACCCTTCCCACACTACCTATCTGAGGTCCTCCCTGTCCTGTGTTCCCTTCACTGCCCATCTCTCAAGCTGAGATTAAGCCTAGGAATTGTGCGTGAACACCATTGAGTGACACTGTTAGAACTAGCACATTTGTTTTATTTGTGGAAGAAAGCAGTCACTGGATTAAGGAGCCAAGCAGAGCAGTGGAAGTAGCTGAGTTGCTCGGACTGGCGAGTCCCATGTTCATCCGGTGAGCCTGAGCCTTGAGAGGCACTCCCCGCCCCTTCACAGCTCCGAAAACTAGTCTCAGGCTTGGGAATCTGAAAAGAGGTTCTAGTGGTTTTCTTAGCTGGCTATGTTTCTCCCTAAAAGATTTCTGTAAAATTCATCACTTTATAGTTTTCTAAATCCAGTTAATGGTGATGCTAGCAAGACATTAGCGCTGAAGGTGGCATTGACAATAATGGAGGGTGGGAGGGGCGGAGGGAGTGCAGTCGAGTGGAAGTGACCAGGCTGCATTGTGTGAAATTGTCTAAAAAACAGTTTTTAAAACTGTAACTGAACATTCTGGCAGGATTGTAAGAGCTGGTCTCAGATACAGGCACTGGCATCTCCAGTGACGAGAACCCTGAGAGGAAGCACTTAGTTAAGGAAACCAGAAGCTTTAGACCTTATTCCTTGTTTGTAGGAATTTACACCACACTGACACCTAATACCAGGACAGCAGGCTGCAACACCTGACCAGTGACTAGTGGAGGAAGATGCACCTCTCTAGGTGTGTTTGCCAAGCACACTGTCACGGGTAGCATGTCCAGAGCTTGGAACATCCAAGATGGCAAAGGTATGGGTTACACAGCAGACACCAGAAAGGAGCACAGCTTATCTGTCTCTACAAACATGTTTAAACTAGTGACTGCAAGCATAGCCAGGATGGGTGTGCTAGTGCTCGCCTGTAATCCCAGGACTTCGGAGGAGGAGGCAGGAGAATGAGGAGTTCTAGGTCTAGTCTGGCTTGGCTACCTAAGAATCTGTCTTTAAAAAATAAAAAAGCTGAGAGGTGGTGGCATATACATTTCCTTTGATTACAGGGTCTTGCTATGTAGCCCATCCGACCCTGAAATTCTTTCTCCTGCCTCAACCTTCAGAATGCTGAGATTATAGGTATAAACCATTCATTATACCTGCTTTGAATTTTCTTAGAACTCAAAAAAAAAAAAATCCTTCGATAAAGCTGTGCCTATTGGCTCATGACTATAATCCCAACACTGTGGAGGCTGAAGGAGGGTCCTTTTGAGTTTGAGGCCAGCCTGGGCTACATAGTGTCCCAATCTTGCTAAACTGCAGAATGAGGCTCTGCCTCAGGAAACACAAACACGCAGGAGTGGGCAAGATGGCTCAGGGGGTAAGGGCTCTTGATACCAAGTCAGATAATCTGAGTTCAATCCCCAAACCCACAAGGTAGAGGGGAGAAATCTGTGCCCACAATTGTCCTCTGACCTCCACACATGTGCTGTGGTGCGTGTATGTTCACACACATAAGATAGAATAATAATTTTTCAACAATACTTTGGTGGTCAGACTTCTTGCGATCCTACTGAAGCATAGGGACATTCTAGTTTCTTTTCAGGGAGGCTAAAAGAATCAGGACATCCTCGTGGTGCTGCACGCCTTTAATCCCAGCACTCGGGAAGCAGAGGCAGGTGGATCTCTGTGAGTTCAAGGCCAGCCTGGTCTCCAGAGTGAGTACCAGGACTGTGTCCAAAGCCACAGAGAAACCCTGTCTCGAAAAACCAAAAAAGAATCAGGACATCAACTTCACATTGACATTTTTATTAACGCCAACTGTTTTTTAATTATTATTTTTTTAAAACAATAGCACAAAAATGTTTTGAGGAAGCAGTCTCACAATCTGACAACCTTCTGAAATACATTAAGCCACACCAAATATGAATTTCTGTTAACACAAAAAAAAATTCAGAAAAAATAAAGAGGAAAAATGAGGCAAGAGGAGGGGGCTGAGACTGGGTTAGGTGGCGAGGCTCGTTAGTGGGCAAACTGGTGCAGCAGTGGTGCAGCGGCCATCTGGACCCTACAGCAGTCCCCACTGGCTTCTCATTTGCTCAAGGCGGTGAACCAGAGCTCACTGATACTGTTTGGAAGAGTACGGCATTTGGCCTGTCAGTAACTGGGGCCATTTTGAGCAGAATCACTCCAGCAGAAAGGCCTGGCTGATAATCTTTATTTCTACTCTCTCACCTATTATACATTTCAGGGTTCTTAAAAGTTATCTTAAAAAAAAAGAAGGAAAAGTATTACCAGCTCCTCTTATTTAATGTGGCTGTCAAAGATGTTTCTCATAATCTCTAAGAAGGACAGGGTCAGGGCTAGGCAGAACCAAAGGGAGAAGAGCCCAGGACAGAGGGGTGGTGGTTGTTTTACTTTTTAAAAAACTTTTCATTACTTTTTTGAGGGGTGGGGATCACACAGAAGGGAGGCAAGGAGGGAACTACAATCCTTGGTTCAGATTGAGTTATGCAGGAAAAGATACCTTCCTGGTCAGTCCCCATACCAAAAAGGAAAAAAAAAAAAAAAAAAAAAAAAAAAAAAAAAAAAAAAGAAAAAAAAAAAAACCCAACAACAAAAGAACAACCCACTTGGAATTATTATGCACAGACTCCATTATGTGAGCCAGTATCAGCCTTCTGGTCCGCATCCCTAGCAGTGGACATACCCGGCTTGTCAGGCTGCATGTAGAACCCACTTCACAAAAATCCTTTCCCCAAAAGCCTTTCTTTCCTTTTGGTAGGTTTTAAAACAACATCTGTCACTAACAGGAGAGTGTTCAACACTTTGACAGGCTCCAGGAAGTTTCACAGTTTCATTATGCTCTAGTTTATTACTATCATATTTACATTTTTTTTTATTTTTTATTTTGTTTTTGCTGAATTGCTGATTTTCCTTTTTCAATAGAATTTAATTCTGGAGTGTGAGCAGGAACCAGTTAACTACATTCATTGTCCAACCCCCACTGGTATAAGACTCCAATTCTTGGCATGTGAATCAGCTGTTGGGTAGCTCCTCCTCATCCCTGCAGAAAGGCAGCAAGCCCTTGGTGTGGGCAGGTGGGCGGAGGCTTCACACTGAGGGTTGGGAGGCTCTCCGCTGGAGGAGGTACTCTTGAATGTTATCAGCATCTCGCTTTAGCCAAGCAGCATTCAGCAAGATATTTTCACAACACTGCTGGATGGTCCTCTCAGCTGAAGGAGCTGGATGACTCTCGAAGAAAGCCTGGTAGGAAACAATCCAGAATGGAGAACCACTGTTAGCAACGTGGGAGATTAATGCTGGGACTACATAAAAGCACCAACTGGCCTAAGGGATCCATCAGCCTCAACCATGAGAACTGACCATTGCAGGCTGAAAGAAGAAACTCCTCCGGCCTACATATAGGAATCCTTCCATAGGAATCCTTCCTTAACAAGTGAGTGCATAAAACCTAATTAAAAGCTGATAAAGAGATGGAACCTCCTGCTCTTTAAAATGTTGTCTATGTGTCCAGCTTATGGCCCATGCACAAGCTACATACAGCCAAAGCCAGCTATGAGCAGGGCCCAATACACAATCATAAACCTACTGAAAGCATTATTATTATTATTACTATTATTATTATTATTTTTGGTTTTTCGAGACAGGCATTTTTTAAAAAAAATAACTTGATTGTGCAATTTTTTCCTCAATAAACATTTAACTAGGCAGATCAAAAATAACATTACTCCAGATATAACAGATATATTAAAAATTTAGATATTTTATATTTTGTTTCTTGCATAATCTCCAAACTCTGTGCTATTTTATACTTACAGACCAGCTACATTTCTGGCTTTCTGTTGTGGCATCCCATAGACTTTTGCCTGCATTGAGCAATTTGGCCTTGGGAGAGCAAAGAAGGCCCCTCCAGAGTATGACATGGTCAGACTCCCTCTAACCTTTTCCCTCACTTCATTCAGAATCTAACCTAGATTAATTTTTTTGTTGTTGTTTTGTTTTTCAAGACAGGGTTTCTCTGTGTAACAGCCCTGGCTGTCCTGAAACTCTCTTTGTAGACCAGGCTGGCCTGGAACTCAGAGATCCACCTGCCTCTACCTCCAGAGTGCTGGAATTAAAGGCGTGTGCCACCAAACCCAGCATCTAGTTTTTGTTTAAAAAAACAAATGCTTATGTATATGGGTATTTTCTTTGCATATATGTTTGCACATCAGAAGAGGGCATTGGATCCCACGGGACTACAGTTAGGAACAGAACTCAAGACCCCTGGAAGAGCGATCAGTGCTCCTAAACACCAACCCATCTCTCTAGCCCCTAGATTTGTTCTTGAAGATTTATTTTTACTTAAGTATATATATGTATGTGTTTGTGGAGGCCAGGAGCACATCAGATCCCCTAGAGTTGGAGTTACAGGTGGTTGTCACTCACCTGATGTGGGTGCAGGGAACTGAACTCAGGTCCTTTGCAAGACCACCAAATACTTTTTTTTTTTTTTTAAGGTTCTCTCCCTCCTTCTTCACCCCCGCACCCCCCCATTTATTTATTACGTTCTGTATGTATCCCTGCAGGCCAGAAGAGGGCACTAAATTTCACTACAAATGGTTGATGGGTGATGTTATTCTGTATGTTTCTCTTATTGGTCAAATACTGTTGGGCAAATGGCCAATAAGGCAGGAAGACAGGTGGGACTAGGAGGAGGAGATTCTGGGAAAGGCAGGCAGAGTGAGCCGTCAGACAGAATCGTGATGCTGCTGGAGGAGTAATACCATGCTGGGCATTACTGGGTAAGCCACAGCCTGTGGCAACACATAAAGACAGAGCTACGCAATAAGAAGCCCTCGTCATCGGCCAACAGTTAATGTGTTCATTTGGGGCTCCAGGCAGCTGCAGGACCAGGCTGTTGGGAAAGAATGATTGTAATAGATGGTTGTGAGCTAGGAATTGAAGTCGGGACCTCTGCAAGACCAACTAGCCTTCCTAACCAATGAGCCATTTCTCCAGCCCCCAGCAAATGCTCTTAAACCTAGAGATGCTACAGTGATGTGTTTGTGTATGCATGTGAACCTTGAGCATGCCCCAGTGAGAATGTGGAAGTCAGATAAGACAATGTCAGGAGTAGGTTCTCACCTCCCACAACATGGGCCCTGGGGATCGAGCTTAGGTCACCAGGTTTGACAGAAAACACATTTTACTGCTGAGAAATGTCGCTGGCCCTAAGCCAGATCTGACAAAAACCCTGGCTCCCTTTTTTGGGTGGGGGTGGGGGTGGGGGTTGAGATAGGGTTTGGAGGCTGTCCTGGAACTAGCTCTTGTAGATCAGGCTGGTCTCGAACTCACAGAGATCCGCCTACCTCTGCCTCACAAGTGCTGGGATCAAAGGCGTGTGCCACCACGGCCCAGCTCCTGGCTCCTTTCCAATATTCTGCTGTTAGCATCTGGAAGTGTCCCCTACACTGGTACCTCACATCCTCATGCTGGTCTCCAGGATCCCTCAGGTCCTACTCACAAGTTATATATATCAAAGTCTCTACTCTAGCATCCTGGCCCTTCCCACCTCCCTAGGTACTCTTTGTTCTCTATATAATGAGAAGGCTTTCCCCTGTCCCCACTGTCATTTTTATCTTCTCTATCCCTGCTTCCCACTCCCACCCCATGCTCTCTTGCAGACAGCTCCAGCTATAATCACTCTACTCTTTTTCTCTCTCTCTGGGGTCTTCCAGATACATCTGCATATTCTCTCTCTCTTATTAAGAATAAAAGCCCTTACCCTAATAATGTTGGCAGATTCTTTACTGTGTTCCCTTACATACATATGTTAATGGAATTTGGGAGGAGATGCCTTTGGAAGGGTATTGCTTCTGAGTTCATGGTTTTTGTTTTCTTTCTTTTTTTTGTGTGTGGGGGGTTTCAAGACAGGTGGCCCTGGCTGGCCTACACACTTAGAGATCTACCTGCTTCTGTCTCCCAAGTGCTGGGATTAAAGGCATGCACCACGACTGCTGGCTGAGTTCATGGTTCATAGCCATGAACTTTGTAGGCGACAAGGTCATGTGCCAATGTTAAAAGGTCTTGGGTAATTAGGATGTGACTCTTATGGAACCTGAGGCTAGGCTCTGTCAAGGTGCTTGCCTGTCACTGAGTAGGCTAACGGCGCTAAGTTTCAATCTCTCATCTATGAGAAATGTTTGCAGGGTGAAGGAACAAGGCATTTCAGGACCCAACGCCATCCCCAAGATGATTGCATAAATAAGGGAGATGAAGCCACCAAGTTTAAAGTGCTGCTACTAATCTAATTGGAATTCACAGTTTTACATTTTTCATAAAATAAAACTCCTTTCCCATTTATTATTAAAAATTACTAAGCTATTTTCTAACTAGTTCATCTGATTTTATAGCAAACAAAGCATCTGGAAACACCAAGCAGCAATGGCCACTAGGCCTGTCCTGGGACCTTGTCACCAGAGTGTGAAAGGGACATTACTAACTCATCTCTATTAATGCACAGCCTGATTACTAGAGAAGGCAATGGCTCTGCAGGCTCTGAGAAGTCAGGGCTGGAATGACAGCAGTGCTTTAGTTTCATCTAACAAACAGCACTAGCATCTTATCATCCCTACACCTGGAAATCATCCTTGGCCCTTTTCTTCTTTGAGATAGGGTTTCTCTACATAGCCCTGGCTATCCTGGAACTCACTATGTAGACCAGGCTGGCCTCATAGAGACCTGTCTTTCCCAGCCTCCAGAGTGCTGGGCTGAAAGCCATGCCCTACAAGGAAATTATCCTTGGCTCCCCCCCCTCCCCTCTTCCCTTATTTCAGCAGTTCTCTACTTAGGCCCCTACAGGGTCACATTTTAGATATCTTGCATATCAGATATTTACATTATAATCTATAATAGTAGCAAAGTTACAGTTATGAAGTAGCAACAAAATAATTTTACAGTTGGTGGGGGGGGTCACCACAACATAAGGAAGATAAAGGTGAAACTGACATTATGTTTAAAGTATAATGTAGTTTAAAATTTTCCTACTCAGCATTAATTTGTCCCCCAAACTTTACTAGGTTCAGAGTCTACACAAACAAAACTGGTTATCTCTCCACTCTAAACTCTTCAGATATTGAAGCCAAGTCAAACCTGTCTTTTTCTAAGAAACAAGGAAACAAAACCACACCATCCTAATAACTGATGTTTCTGGAGCTGCAGAATGGCTCGGGGTAAGGGCACTTGTTACTCTTGCAGAGGACCCGGGTTCCTAGTACCCACATGGTGGCTTACAACTTTCCAGACTTCTCGTTACAGGGGATCTGATGGCCTCTGACATCTATGGTACCAAGCAAGCACATGGCACACACACATGCAGGCAAAACACTCATATACATAAAGTAAATTTAAGGGAAAAAAAAAAAGCTAGGTTCATGTTATATTCTGTATTGAAAAGTAAAAAGTACATGGTACTTTCCTTACCTTAACTTCTCCAGCCATTTTATCAAGCGCAAAACCCTCAACAGAAAGCTGAAAACAAACCAGAAGTTTTAAACACTAGGAATAAACTTCCCCTTATCCCAAACAAACCACTCTGTCCTCTGGTACTCTGATTTGTTGCAGAGACTGTAAGATGGGAACATGCACAATCATAAAACAAACCTCAGAAATTATTTGAGTAAAAAACTTTTTTGACGCTGGGGCTTGAAACCAAGGCCTAGTGCAGGGCAAGCCTAAAACTGAGATACAACCCTCGAGGAACTCTTTATTCAAGGGCATGGGCATTTTTTGGGTTATATATCCCTGGCTGGTTTCAAACTCATAGCAATCCTTCTGACTGAGCTTCTAGGTGTTAAGATTATAAGCTTGGCCCACTATACCTGGCTGAAGCACCTTTTAAGGAGCAAAGACCCTGACTTTTTGGATCTAACCTCCTAGACTCTAAAAATCATGGATAACCATTCAGGAACATTCAAGATTAGCAGCTACTCACTACTCCCACATACCTTTATTAGTCTGGATATTAAGAACCCTCCCTGGTATCGATTATAAAGCTCTTCCCAGTTGTCCTTTATGAATTTCCAAGCAGCTTTCCTCCCTTGCTTGCTGCCTCCAGCTACTCCACCAATTACTGACACAGTGTCCTGTGGACGTACCTCTTCCTAAAAACAAACAAATAATAAAAATGAAAGAAAGAAATGAAGGAAAAGGAAGGAAGGAACGAACGAACAATCGAACTAAAAGTCTGGCTGTGTAGAGTATCTTCTGGTACCAGAGATTACAACAGATTGTACTCCCTTCTAGGGAGGTGACTGAGCAGGAAAAGGCATCCACTTCTTCAACCTATTCTAATTCTCACTACTGGTGGGAGATGAGAGGTCAACACAGCAGCCAAGCCTCATAACCTGATTGTCTCTCAAAACCACACTACAGGAGGGAGGACCACCCACCTCCTCTCACCTCTACTCTCACCATGACCCTGCCACATATGAGATAAAGCAAATAAAATACAAGATTATAAGTGTGCTGAATCAAAGACAATGGCCACACATCAATGAGCTCCAGTTCTCTTGAAATACAACCTATAACTTACTGAAAGTGCAAAAGTGAGGACTTTTTGAATCAATTCAGGTGAAAGAGTAGCCCCAAGAACTCTTTCAATTCGGTTTTTCTCTTCTTGCATATCAGCTTGTTTGTGAAGCTATAGGGAAAAGAAATAATGACGAATAGTTAGTTCATCCCGTTCATATCAGGTTCTCTTCCCATAAGGTAAAATTTCTGCTTTGCTTTCTCACTGGGTGAGACTGGCAGAACACTACACCATAGAGAATCTTTTGTCAGGATGGCTGAGCACTAAAACCTGCATTTGCCATAGCAGTAAGCCACTAGATGTAGGTGTATACTAGCTACAGCCTGTCTCGGTCCTATAGAGTCAAACATTAATAGCTAAGAAGTAAGTCTGCCATTGTCAAATTCTTTACATCACTGACACCTGATCAATGCTTTGCATTAGATGAATAAACTATCAATTTAGCCTATAATAGTGGAAGCTGAAAGTAATCTAGACACCTAGTAGCCGGCTGCAATGTTTACTCATTTAAGAAAAAGATGCATTAATGTTGGGAAAGTAGAAGCATAACGATTGGAAATTTAAGGACATCCTTAATTTGAAGCCAACCTTGGCTACACAAGACCCTGCCCCCACCCAAAATTTTTGTGCATGGGTGTACATGCACTCATGTTTGCAGACTTGATTACTCATGAGGAGTCTTCCTGTATTGTTGTCTACCTGTTTCCTTGAGTCAGAATCTGTCAATAAGCCTAGAGCTTACATTTTCACCTAAGCTAGTAGGCCTGTAAGCTCCTGCCTTATGTGCCCGCTCACTGCAACTAACTCTTAACATAGGGAACCCAAACTCAGGTCCTCTTGCTGTATAGCAAGCTTTTTACATACTGAACCATCTCCTCAGCTCCCCAAAGTCACACAAGAATATTTGGAGCTGGAGAGGTGCACTGAAGAGACTTGGCTTCTTTTGCAGAGGCTCTAGGTTTGAAGCACCGACATGGTGACTCACAACTGCCTGTTAATTCTAGCTCCAGGGTAGTCACCAGGCACACATGTCATACAATGACATACACAAAGGTAAAACACCTATACATATTTTAAAAAGAAAGAAAATGAAACCGCAGAATTCTATTACCTAATGTTCTTTTTGCTTATTTTGAAACAAGGTCTCACCATGCAGCCCTGGACAGCTTGGAGCTCACTGCATAGATGAGACTGGCCTCAAAATTTGTGAGAGACTTCCTCTGCCTCTTGCCTCCAGAGTCTTGTAAAGGTCTGATATATTCAAGATCTGAACTTGAGCTTCAGGAAGCATTGCTCTCCCAGAAAACATGTAACACTCATCCACTAGATGGCACTCTACACCACAGCTCAAGACAGCAGGAATCATTTTTAAATCAAAGGGATGGATCACTCCCTCCTAAATTACTAGGCAGGAGAAAACAAGCCTCATCTCTTGTCACATGTCCCACCAACACCCCCACCCCCCACCCCAGACAAGGTTTCTCTGTGAAGCTTTGGACCCTATCCCGACACTTGCTCTGGAGACCAGGCTGGCCTCGAACTCACAGAGATCCACCTGCCTCTGCCTCCCGAGTGCTGGGATTAAAGGTGTGTGCCACCAATGCCCAGCGTGTTTTTATAAAATAAAATGTATTGAGGGTTTGCCTGCATGTATATAAGTGCATTGTATATATGCCTGGTGCCCTCATATGCCAGAAGAAGTTGCCAGATTCCTTGGAACTAGAGTTATGGACAGCCACTATATGGACCACTGGGGATGAGCCTGGTTTCTCTGTAAGAACAGCAAGTGTCCTTCACCACTGAACCACCTCTCCAGCCTCACAGAGAATCTTTTTGTTGTTGTTGAGACAGGGTCGCATATATCTCAGCTTGAATTCTCTGTGCAGCTGAAGATGACCTTGAACTCCTGATCTTCCTAGATCTACTTTCCAAGTGCTTGGTCCACTGGCTTACATGTAAATGTTTTAATGACCACATAGTTCTGATGGGTGATTTGGGTATTTAGGCACATTTTGCATAATTACTTGATGACAGTAATAAGCATATTTTGGTCATTTCACCTCTAACAGCATGGTTCTTTCTTTTTTTAAAGATTTTATTTATTTATTATGTATACAACATTCTGCTTCCATGTATTTCTGCACATCAGAAGAGGGCACCAGATCTCTTAACAGATGGTTGTGAGATATGATATAGTTGCTGGGAATTGAACTCAGGACCTCTAGAAGAGCAGTCAGTGCTCTTAACCTCTGAGCCATCTCTCCAGCCCCAGCATGGTTCTTTCTTAACAGACTGGAAATTAATGCACAAGGACTAGATACAGCATTTGTCCCAAGTATTACTTTTTTTTTTTTTTTCCAAGACAGGGTTTCTCTGTAGCTTTGGAGTCTGTCCTGAAACTCACTCTATAGACCAGGCTAGCCTCAAACTCACAGAGATCTGCCTGCCTCTGCCTCCCGAGTGCTGGGATTAAAAGCATGAGACACCAACACCCAGCCCAAGTATTACTATTAACACAAACTCTGATACAGGTCTCTACTATTATAGAGGCAGGATTAATTGTATGTTCCCAATGTTAAGAAAACTATGAAGACCGATGAGCAGTAGCAAAATTATAGTTATGAAGTAGCAATGAAATAATTTAATGGGGGGGTCACCACAACATGAGGAACTGTATTTATTAAAGGGTCGCATCATTAGGAAGGTTGAGAACCACTTACAAAGACAAGCATCTCTGTGAGGCATAGTAGGTAGTTCAGGCTGTGATCCCAGCTACTTGGGAGGCTATAGAAGAATTAGTTCAAGCCTGGCTGGGCTATAGTAGTGATTTCAAGGGCTAGTAAGACCCTGTTTTAAAAAAGGTGGGAGCAGGTGTGATGCGTGTCTGTGATCTCCATAACCTGAGCATCATGTGGGAAGGTAGAAGGAAGATTAAGAATTCAAGGCCAGCCTCAGTTACAAAGGGAGGCAGAGTACTGCTTGGGTTAAACGAGCCCCTGTCTCAAAATAGAAAATACACAAACAAATAAAAACAAAAGAAAAATGGGCATAGTGGCACACCTGTAATCCTAGCACTTGGAAAGGTAGAAGCACGAGGATCAGAAAAATGAACAATAATCTTCAAAGTCAACCTGGGCTAACTGAGACTTTGTCTCAAAACAGAACAAAACAAGCAGGGCTGGGACTAGTTTAGTGGCAGAACCCGTGCCTAACACGCATGAAGTCCCGGAGTCAAACCTCACCATTTCAGGATTAAAATTTAGCTAGATACTAAAGTTGTGAAGGAAAAACAAACGAATAAACCTGAAATATCAGTTCAGCATCATTTGGAAACATGCAAACAGACCTCATACGGCTCTCTCCCTCTCTCTTTCTAGGGTGGGGTACTGGACCTAGCCCTAGGGCCTCCAGCAGGTCAGGCCAACAGTCCCATTAAGCTATTCTTCCAGAGCCCTTTTACTTTTTTATGCTGAGCAGGAACTCACAAAGTTGCGTAGTCTGACTTTGAACTCACTCTATAGCCAGATAGGCCTTAAACTTTCTATACTGCTTCAAACTCCTTAATACCCAGGATTATAAGTCAGACCCAGGCTTTATTTCTTTGTTCAGGCTTTCCCTCATCTTTCAAATCATATAAAGTGGTACTTGTCTATCCAAATCCAAAGGCAGGAACCTGGAGCCTTTTCCAGATACACTTACCTTTAGCATAATATCTAAGGTGCTGCCATCCCCATGCTTTAAAACAGTAAGATAGACCTACAAAAAAAAAAAATCCAGGGAAAAAGAAGACATTTGAGTTACATGTATTTTGTTATAAATATTCTAAGATAAAGAATAGCCACGCATGTTGCTACAGGCCTGTTGTCTTAGCTCTGGAGAGAGTGAGGCAGGAGAAAAACCATAAGTTCGAGGCCTCTGTGGGCTACACATTGAGATCCTGTCTGGAAAAACAAAACAAAGAAAAGCTACAAAGCAAATTTAAAAAATTATAGTTATGCATCTGAACAGACTATGGTTATCAATCACTAATAAACTACTGGTGAAAAATCACAAAGGGGCTGACATGTCCTGACAACACCTTGTACCAGTTATCTCAGAGAAATGCACAAAGTTAATCACCTTGCAGCATTGATGTGTTTCCTGAGAAACAAATGAGAAGTTGGTACAAACTATCTAAGTAGCATATGTTAAAACAGTCAGACTGTGGGTCAGTTCTTAGGTCAATTTTAGCTCCACAAACTGAAACTTACACCTAAAAGTCAAGGGAATTTATCTTTATTCCCTTCAGACATGGTCTCTCTCTGTGTAGCTCTGGCTGCCCTGGAACCTACCATGTATACAAGGCTAGCCTTGAACTCAAAGTTCCACCTGAGTCTTCCTCCTGAGTGCTAGGATTACAGGACTGTCCCACCATGCCCAGCCTTCAAGGGAATTTATTAAGATGACTTACAGGACTTCTTAGATCAGCAGAAAGAATCTGTTTTCCTTCCACGTGCTCCTTAAACCGACGACGGGCTTCTTCCAATGTTGCCATATGCCCTGCTTTTCCCAGTTTGCCCAGCACCAAGCCCCTCAGGAGTGCATCTAGATGACCTGATTGAGAAGGGAAGACACAGGACTACTTGAAAACCCCACTTTTATAAATTCATTACCTAAATATTTTGTAACTTTGTTACACCAGATCTATGGTCTTGAACAACCACAATCAATTACTCTAATAACTTGAGAGAACACTTGACTTAATTTACCAGATTGTAAGAGGAAAGGAGAAAACATACTAGACAAGCAAACAAATTTGCTGACTTTGTCTGGATTGAAGTGCCATCTATCAGAGCCTACTAATGTATTCTCAATGTAGTTAATTATACATGAGCTAGGAAGTGGTGAAGGATGCCTTTAATCCCAGCACTCGGTAGGCAGAGGCAGTAGGAGTTCTGTGAGTTCGAGGCCAGCCTGGTCTACAGAGGGAGTTCATGACAGTCAAGGCCACACAGAGAAACCCTGTCTCAATAAACCACAAAGATAATATATGAAAAGGAAAGAATTGCACCATGCAGGTTTGATCCAAGTTTTGTTTAAAAAGACCCACAGGGAACTAGAATGTTCTTTGCACAATTAACTGAAACTAAGTACCCACACTCAGTTCAGTATCACTGTCATTATAGGTAAAAGCTTCCACGTAAGGTCTGGGAATATAGCTTTGTGGTAGAGCATGCCAGAGGCCTTTGGATCAACCCTAGGACTGGGTTGATAAAAAAAAAAGAACAGAAAAGAAACAAACTTTTATATATAGTTCAGATCAAAACGGGTTGGATTCCCTGCAACTGGAATTACAGACAGGTAGTTGTGAGCCTCCATGTTGGTACTGGGTACTGAACCTGCTCCTTTGCAAGAGCACTTAACTGGTGATTCAGCTTTCTAGCTCCTGTGAAGGCTTTTTGTGTGTGCACATATAATTACATACATGTGTGTCCATATATGTGGCGAGCAGAGGTCATCCTAGGGTGTTGTTCCTTAAGGGCCATTAACTACCTTGTGTGTTTGTTTGTTTCTGACACAGAGTCTCACTACTTAGCCCTGGGTAGCCAAGCACTCTCTTTAAAGACCAGGTTAAGCTGGGCAGTGGTGGCTCACGCCTTTGATACCAGCACTCCAGAGGCAGAGGCAGGCAGAGTTCGAGACCAGCCTGGTCTACAAGACCTCCAAGGCTACACAGAGAAGCCCTGTCTCAAAAAACAAACAAACACACATAGAAAGAGCAGGTTGGGCAAACTCACAGAGATCCACCTGCCTATGCCTCGAAATTGTTGAAATTAGCAGTGTGCCACCAATCCTGGCTACCTCACCTTTTAGGACATGATCTCTCACTAGAATGATGCTCACCAGTGAGAGGCTGACAGCCAGCAAACCCCAGAGATCTGTCTTCATCTCCTTAGTGCTGGGATTACAAGTGTGTATCACCACACCAGGCTATTTTACATGGGTTTTTGGGCTGGAACTCGTGTCTTCAGGTGTGTACTCTTAGAAACAGAGCTGAGTTGCCTCTCCAGCCCTTACTGGGACTCGGCTACTGACTTGTGTTGCAGGACAAAGCCATATTTTGCTGCTTTGCTCTTTAATTCCCCTGTCTGTATAGCTATAAAACAAAGGCTTTCTTCTCCCTGTATTCTTTTTGAATCAAAGGTTTCACATCATATCATTTCCAAAGAGAAGTGTAACATCCAGCAATCCAGCAGCATGTGCTCACTTCCTTCCTACTGTCCTGTTACTCTATATGGATGTTCCTCTACAAAGCTAACTCCTCTGCTACAAAGTTGGGTCTGAACTCCTCTCAATTACTCAGCTGCCACACCAACAGTAACCTTTCACCTTCTCTCATAGCACATACACTTTCAGTACTACCATTTCTTTCCCCCTGGGAACCTTTCAATTACTATATACTCTTGCATTATTTTCAATACTAGAAAAATGTTGCAATCCCACATCCTCAAGTCTACTCCTGTTGTCAACAAAATTCTTTTTAAAGAGTTGTCTAGATAAGTTCTGGGACACTCTATTTTCTCCTGGCTCTCCTCCTCACTGGCCAGTCAGTTTCTTTGTGATTCTTCACCCCCCTTTTCTCTGAGTCTCACATGGACAAGGGTGGCCTTGACTTTTCTATGAAGCTGAGGATGACTCCTGAGTCTCTTGCCTCTACCTCCCAAGGATTAGTGGTGTGGACAACCATACCCTAGCCTTCTTTGTTTTTTGAGACACTGTAGGTAGACTAGGCTGGTCTTGTTTATTTGTTTACTGACAGGAATGTACCACCACCAGTATGCCTGTCTTTGATTTTTCTTTTACCAATCTCTAAATCCAGAACTATGATATAGTCCTCAAACCTCCCCCTCCACCTAACTTTTTTTTTTTTTTTTTTTTTTTTTGGGTTTTTCGAGACAGGGTTTCTCTGTGGCTTTGGAGGCTGTCCTGGAACTAGCTCTTGTAGACCAGGCTGGTCTCGAACTCACAGAGATCCACCTGCCTCTGCCTCTGGAGTGCTGGGATTAAAAATGTGTGCCACCACCGTCCGGCCTCCCCACCTATTCTTAATCATTAGGTGATATCTTCTAGTTTCACAGCTATAAATACTACTGCATGCTATTAACTCTAAATGCATTCATCTAAGCCCAGATTAGCATTCTATACTCGGATGTCCAAAATGATCCAATCTGAAAGACCCCAAACAAAACTCCTGACTCTTTTTTTTTGCAGCCAAAGTGCCTCTACAACAACACACACACACACACACACACACACACACTTACTTTCTTTTAAAGAAAGGATCTTACTGTGTAACCCTGGCTGGCCGGGAACTCTTGGTGTATAGATGAGGCTAGCCTTTAACTCAAGACCTCTTAAATGCTGGAATTAAAGGCCACCAAACCTTGTCCTCTACAAGTAGTCTTAATCTGAGGAATTTTCTTTCTGTAACACTCAGTTTTCCACCAAATAGTTTTAGTACTACCTACAAAACACACTAAGAATATACTACTTTATATAGGCAAGCTACAATCAACACCTTAAATCGTCTTCTGAATGGTTTTCCTTCAGGTTGTTTTTCAGTCATGCAAATCAAATCACATTCCTCTGCTAAGAACTTTTAAAAACTAGCATCTTGTATCACAAAATGTGAAAAACAAGGAACTTACTATACTCCCCACACCCTATAGGATGCCTTTAACTGGCCATGGGCCTCTCATCCACCTTTACCTGGTCCTGACCACACTAGCCTTCTGATTATGTACTGTTTTTGTTTTTCAAGACAGGTTTCTCTGTTACAGCTCTGGCTGTCCTGGCACTCGCTCTGGAGACCAGGCTGCTCTCGAACTCACAGAGATCTGCCTGCCTCTGCCTCCCAAGTGCTGGGATTAAAGGCGTGCACCACCACACCAGCCACTTCTGGTTATTCTTTGAACACTCCATCAGGATCATACTTGCTAGATTCTTGTCACTTGCTAGTCCCTCTGGTCTGGACCATGTTCCTCAACTATTTTACTAAATACTGGCTTAGTACTCCTTATTCACACTGTCTAGTTTTATTTTTCTTTGAGATACTCCCCACAACTATAATACAATTTGTTTGCTATGTCCCCCACTAGAATGGAAGCTATACAGGGAAGTGCTCTGCTCATCTCTACCACCAGCTTCTAAAATAGCACCTGACTTTTACTAGCTATGTAAGTATTGGTTGAATCAATAAAGGAAAGACAGTGCCAAGTATTTGCTACTATTGTTGTTCTTACTACAAGATTCTCAGATTAATGATCTGAGAATAACTCACTGTTTAGAACAGGCTAGGCCCCTGGTTTAAAACCAGCAATAGGAAAAAAAAAAAAAAAAAAAAAAAAAAAAAAAAAAAACAGGGGGTAAAAATAAAATAGGATTAAGATTAGTCAAGAGAAGGTATTGGTGGCTCACACCTTTAATCCCAGCACTCAAAAGGCAGAGACTGGTGGATCTCTGTGAGTTCGAGGCCAGCCTGGTCTACAGAGCAAGTGCCAGGACAGGCTCCATAGCAATACAGAGAAACCCTGTCTCGAAGAAGAAAAAAAAAAAGAAAGAAAAAATTAGTCAGGAGAAAACACCTTACTTAGTGAACAGATGACAACAGATAATTGTATTTAAAGCTTATAAATCACCATTGTCAACATTTAAATGACAGTTTAAAAACGGTACATGATTATACACATAATCATGGAACACACACATAGAAAGCAATTAATATCCTTATTTTGGAAAGATAAGTGATGCCAGGTGTGATGATTCATGCCGAGGCAGGAGAGTCTCTATGGGTTCCATGCTACTTGAATTTGTTGCTGGTGTGATAATTCACCAGCAGGTTCAGAAGATGTAGTTTATGGCTAACTGAATATACAGTAACATCTGGATACAGAGATGCTGCTGCTAACTGTTAATTACAAGTGAACAGAAAAGTACCAATTTCAGACAGATTCTTTCCCCATACAGTACACTCATTCATTACCTTCTCCAGGTTTGGGGTCCCAGCCCAGTCTCTCTCCTATAGGTGAAAAGACATCTTTCACAAACTCCTGGATTTCATCATAGAAGTCTGTGTGGGACAAGAGAGTTGAAAGAATCCCCAGGTTACAGCTCAGGTCGCTCCATACAGTATAATTGGGCTCATTCACAAAAGCCTCCATGACTTTTAGAACCTCTACAGTGCTAATGATTCCAGCTCGAGCCTGGGATAGGAAAAAACACAAATTAGCCCAGCCTTCAAACAAGACAAAAGAAAACAAACATGTACTTTGGCATTATCTACTGCTAGTAATTTTTTGGGTTTAAGGAAATGAGGCTAAGTAAGTTCAGAATACTATTAGAATAAAAATCCTATCATAACATAATCTTTTATTTATTCCTTTGCTATTTGTAAAAGAACTCCTTAAAAATTACATTATACCTCATAATTTGAGACCAACAAAAACCAGTTAACTTCTTATTTTTACTCAGTTTCTGGGGCAACACTTTAATGTTTTCAAATTTTTTATACTTTCAGTAAAGCTGCAAGAAGAGTTGGGCTCTGGTTCTTGACAAAGGCTCTTTCAGGGCTGGACCTGCAAACTATGTCAATTTGAGCCTCTCCTTTACGCACTTCTAAAGAACAGGAATGGGAAGGCTATGAATTTAGAGTGCTTGCTTTCAGCACTGACTAATAAGAGCTGGAAAAAGAACTTCTGTTCTATCAGCCAACTGCACACACAGCCTGCTCTCATGGGACAGGTCTGCCATGGCAGGGAGATTAGCAGATGGGAGGATTTGTCCATGAATGCTAATCTGCATTTATGCAAAGAAGGAATCCAATCAGCAATCACAGAGGGCAAGGAGATTTCAGGTCCGATTTAAAGGAATGCTAGAAAGAATCACAATCTTACCACAGGCAAAGACATTCTGAAATTACCTAACCTGCTGGAGTCATAAAGACAAAATACAAATTTTGCTGCTTTAAATCCTTCCTGGAACAAAGCCAAATACGTATATAATTCTGGGGCTGATATTCTATAATTTGAGTAATAACATACTGTTAAAACATTCTGGCTTTCCTAGCAAAGTAAGAAAAACATAAAATCACTCTGAATCAGTTTTTAAAAAAATCAGTACGGAAATTTCTTCATTACTCATATCCATGTGTTTTGAAAAGAATGGACTTTTTCTCTTACAAAGAATAGTTTAAAGATTTTTTTTTTAAGATTTATTTATTTACTATGTTTACAACATTCTGCCTCAGTGTATGCCTGGACACCAGAAAAGGGTACCATGTCTCATTACAGATGGTTGTGAGCCACCATGTGGTTGCTGGGAATTGAACTCAGGAACTCTGGAAGAGCAGTTAGTGTTCTTAACCTCTGAGCCATCTTTCCAGCCCAACAAAGATGGTTTTAAAAATTAGCTTAGAAACATTAAAATGGAATTTGCTTCTGGCAAATGATACAGGTACAATTTTGTTGTGTTAATAATTAGCCATTTGCTGTTGTCCTAAAAGTGCCAACCTTTGGGAAGAACCACATCCTTCTATTATGCTTTATACACTCCAGGAGAAACAGGACCCTTTAACCAAGAAAATGCATTATGTAACTTAAGTGTGAGATGCTCACCAGAGAAAAGAGGTCATTCTGTAATCCAAGTCGATCCACTGGGGGCAGTGAAAGGTCACGGATGCCTGGTAATAAACTTTCCAGCATGGCAGAGCTGTACTGGGTCCGATAAAACCCAACTGTTCCCAGATTTAACTGAAAAGAGCCAATATATAGTATTAACCACTTCCTTTCACCTGACTTCTCTTTTGAGACAGTGTTTCCAACCCACAGAGATCCACCTGCCTCTGCTTACACAGTGCTAGGATTAAAGGTGAGCACCACCAGGCTCAGTCAGACATTACATTCCATTTTTAAAAGATTTTTTGGGTGGCCACCCTGGTCTATATAATGAGTTCTAGGACAGCCAGAGCTACACAGTGAGAACCTGCCTCAAAAAAACAAAACCAGTTTTTTTTTTTTGGGGGGGGGTACTGACAGGGATCAAACACATGGATTCCTGAATACTAAGCAAGGACTTTCTCACTGAGCTAAGTCCTGCCTTGAAAAACAAATAAGCAAACAAAAGAACTATGTAAAATGAAATTATAAAGTTTACTATGTAGAAATATTATAAAAATAGGGGATGGAGAAATGGCTTAGCGGTTAAGAGCACTGGCTGCTCTTGCAGAGGACCAGGTTCAATTCCCAGCGCCGACATGGCAGCTCGCAACTGTTTGTAACTCCAAGATCTGACACCTCACACAGACATACATGCAGGCAAAACAGCAATACACATAAAAATTGAATCATAAAAAGATACTGTATACATTTGTATAAATAATCAAAATATATTTTGCTTTGTTTTTTTCTAAACAGGGTTTCTGTGTAGCTCTGGCTGTCCTGGAACTCACTCTGTAAACTGAACTCAGAGATCCAACTGCCTCTGCTTCCCAAGGGCTAGGATTAAAAGGTTGAGCCACCACTCTTAGCTTTTTAGAATGGGAGGGCAGTTTGAAGTTGGAAGTCTACAAATGTTCTATGCACAGTCTACTATTTACATCTTCCTTTCCCTGTCTGAAACAGACTCACTAGCCTAGGCCAGCATGAAACTCTAACCTCCTGCCTCAGCCTAATGGGTGCTGGGGTTACAGGTAGGCATGACCAAATGCTGTCAACTCTTATTTTTCTTCTCTCACTTCAGGGTTTCCTTCTTGTTTATTTCTTCTTCTTTTTTTTTTTTTTTTTTTAAATAATTTATAAACTTTATTTTGTGTGCATTGGTGTGAAGATATCAGATCCCATGGAACTGGAGTTACAGACAGCTGTGAGATGCCATGTGGATGCTGGGAATTGAACCCGGGTCCTCTGGAAGAGAAGCCAGTGCTCTTAACCACTAAGCCATCTCTCAAGCCCCCAGTGTTTCCTTCTTATTCTTTAAATTGAAAGAATATAATTCAGAGAAAGCCACAGAAGGTAGAGGAAAAGAAATAATCCTTCAGATAAGATAAAAACAGCTACGCCATTCTCAACTCACCTTTACCCATTGGTCTGGTTTGACATTTTTCAAGACTACATTCATCTCTCGCTTATCCATTAGTATTTTTAGTTTAGCTTGGCTGGGATCTTCACTAGTTGAGATTGTGATAGGAACCATCCACTGAGGACAGTCTTCACCTAAACAAGAAGAGAACAGAAAATTTAAAGACAATGTTACATTTAAAGAAACAGATGGAAACCATCAGTGGTGGTGCATACCTTTAATCCCAGCACTCAGGGGCCAGAGGCAGGTGGATCTCTCTGAGTTTGAGGCCAGCCTGGTCTACAGAGAGAGTTCCAGGATAGGCTCCAAAGCTATAGAGAAACCCTGTCTTGGAATAATAATAATAATAATAATAATAATAATAATAATAATAATAATAATAATAATAATAATAAAGAAAAGAAACAGGTGGTAAGGTAGACAGAGCACTGTCAGTGTTATAACCAAGACACATCCACAGCTTTATTTTATGCTTCCAGGTGACCTAAGTAATATTAGTGCAAAGAAAAAGATAAGTTAATATCAAAATCAGTTGTCTCAAAGAGAATAATTAACTCAAGCAATGCAATAAAGATAGCTGTTAGATCTGAGTAGTGAACGTTCTAAGGTGTTTTCCTTAAAGGGCTTACACTACTACACTGGGACAGTGTTTCATCACCGAGGAGACACATCTAAAAGCCAAAGCATTTGAAAAGTAGAACACTGTATCAGATAGCAAACAGCAAATCAGACTCTGTATTAGTGCATTAACAGAGCTATTTAAAGAAGGCTCACAATCACATGGTGGTGGTGCATGCCTTTAATCCCAGAACTCGGGAGGCAGAAGCAGGTGGATCTCTGTGAGCCTGGTCTCCAGAGTGAGTTCCAGGATAGGCTCCAAAATTACAGAGAAACCCTATCTCAAAAACAACAAAAGGCACACAATCATCATATAAGTAAACCTCTTGCTTGGTTAAAAAGATTAAGTCACAGCCCGAGATGGTGTCACTCAGAGGGCAGAGCTCTGCAGGAGGATCTCTGTGAGCTGAGAATAGCTTGGTCTACAGAGTGAGTTCCAGGACACCTAGGGCCACACAGTGAAACCCAGGCTCAAACAAATACAAACCCCACCATCGAGATACTCCAGGTTTTAATGTTGCCCCTATTGGTTAGGTCACAGAGGACTATACTGAGATTACTATTCTAAAGCAAAAGAAACAGTTTCTTCAATTAAAATGTAATTTCTTGGGTAAAATTTTATAGGTAAAAGGAGCTTAATGAGAAGAGAAATTATCTGAGAAGGTAGCAGTTGAGAGGACAAACTCAGGGATCTCAACTATCTTATTTGAATTCCCACTCTTTTAAACTTATTAGATAGGTGTCTTTAAGAAATTTTATTGGGGGGGGGCTAGAGAGATAGCTCAGTGGTTAAGAGCACTGGCTGCTTTTCCAGAGATCAGGGTTCAATTCCCAGCACCCATATGGCAGCTCACAATTGTCTGTAAGTTCATTTCCAGGGGATTGGACACTCTCACACCAATGCACATAAAATAAATTAAAAAAAAAAAAGACAAAAATTTTAGGGGGTGGTGGTGGCACATGCCTTTGATCCCAGCACTCAGGAGGTAGAGGCAGGCAAATCTAAGTTCAGCCTAGTCTACAAAAACGAGATTCAGGACAGGCTCCAAAGTAACACAGATAAACCCTGTCTTGAAAAGCCAAAAAAAAAAAAAACAAACAACAGGAGGGGGGACAGGGACCAGACACCACATGGGAGAGATGGCTCAGCAGTTAAGAGCACTCACTGGCTGTTCTTCCAGAGTACTGGAGTTCAATTCCCAGCACCCACATGGCAGCTCACAACTGTCTGTAACTCCAGTTCCAGGGACACCTTTACACCAATGCACATAAAATAAATTTAAGTAAATTTTTAAAAATTTGGAGCGTTGGTGGCACACGCCTTTAATCCCAGCACTCCAGAGGCAGAGGCAGGTGGATCTCTGTGAGTTCGAGACCAGCCTGGTCTACAGAGGGAGTTCCAGGACAGCCTCCAAAGCAATACAGAGAAACCCTGTCTCGAAAACAAACAAACAAACAAACAAACAAACAAACAAAATAAACAACCCAAAACTAAATATTTTAGGGGAGAGGTCTGGAGAGATGGCTCAGTGGTTAAGAGCACTGGCTGCTTTTCCAGAGGTCCTGAGTTCAACTCCCAGCAACACAACCATTTATAAAGAGACATGGTGCCCTCTTCTGGTGTGCAGGCAGAATGCTATATACATAATATGGAGAGGAGGGAGGGAGGGAGGGAGGGAGGGAGAGAGAGAGAGAGAGAGAGAGGGAGAGAGATGTGTAGAGGGAGTGACTGAAACAGGGTCTTTCTACATATCCCTGGCTGACCTGGAAGTTGTTATGAAGATCAGGCTGTCCTCAAATTCACAGTGATCTGCTTGCCTCTACTTGTACACAATTGCTGCAGACAAGCAGGCACACAGATACACATAAAATAAATAAAACAAATTAAATTCAAAGTGTAACTAAACAAATAATAAAGAAGATGGTATTATTTTTAATTTGAAAACCACTAGTAAGGAACCCAAATTTATTGCTCAGTTCCCTCTTATAACATTATTTGCTTACCGACATATGGTCCACTGGCACAGAATTTCTTTTGAGACAGCCTCAGCACTCTGTCATCTTCTACCTACAGAAGCAAAGTAAAGGCTATAATAACAATGGTGATTTTTGGGTGTTTCTGTGACAGTGTAGATGGGGAACCAGTACAAACAAATGTCTTAAAGGGTGATACACATGAGGATACTATAGAATAGAAAAAAAGTCACTTTTGGGGGAGGGAATCATGAGTCCTCCCCTAGCTGATCAGCAGCTGCTTTGGGGTGGGGGATGCAAGTTTTCTTCAGACATGTAGTCTCTGGTAGGTTGTTCATGCTCCTGTGGCTGGCCCTATACCCGTATGCATGCAGTGAGTTATATAAAAAAGGACAGGAGGGGTAGGAGTTGGATGTGTTGGGAAGAGTTCTTGGAATACAAGATACATTGTATATGAAACTGTCAAAGAATAAATTTAAACAAGTCAATCCTTTTCATTCACATCTCAGAAGAAAAATTAAAAAAAGAACCTGTTTAAATGCCCTAGAGACCAGCTATTCAATCTATATATAATATAATATATATATATATATATAATAAATTTAAATATAATAAAGCTTTTCAAATAAAAGACAAATTTGTATGAATATGAATCCTCTGAAGGTGTGTAACACTCATATGAGAGAAATTCCTAAAAGCAAATTATTTATCTTTAAAAATATATAAAACAAAAGGCAGGAATGCCAATGCCCACCAGCAATCCCAGCTCTTGGGAGTGGGAGGCAAAGCAGTAGGTCTTCCAGGTTGTCCTGGAGGATGCTACACAGTGAGTCTAAAGTGAGCCTGAGCCTGTTCCACTTCCCCCAAAGTGTACACAACAAACAAAATTATATTATTCTTCATAGAGAAAGATTATATTAGATTTTTCCCACTTTATTAGATTAACAGGTAGATTCAATATTCAGAATTTAAATCCTAGAATGCAGCTTGTTAGCTATAAAAGGAACACATATCTTGTTTTAAAGTACAAGTTTTGTAATAAAACACAAATTTGAATGTGAGAGTGCCTATAAATAACCTGAAAATCAAAAGCAATAATGTATATGTTTAAAAAAAATACTTTGGGTGAGATGACAACTTAGTATAATGCTTGCTATGCAACCACTAGGACCGGAGTTCAATCCCCAGCATCCACGGAAAAACTGGGGTGTGATAATGAGCATTTATAATCCCACTGTCTGCAAGGTAGAAACAGCAGATCCCTGGAGCTTGCTGACCAATCAACCTAGTGAAATCTCGGTTCTCGTGAGAGATCCTGTCAGCAAAGCGAGGAGGACAGACCACTGACCTCTGTTCCTCACCACCTGCACTGGCACACACAAGCACACACACATCTACACCATGCATTCAAACACCACCAACGGAGAAAACTTCAACAAATATTCATTACGAACAGATTTGAGCTTACTTAAATCAAATGTAAACCTAAAAGTCATGTTAGTAATTAAACTAAGTACAAGAAACAGAAATGAAATCCAGGCACAGTGTCACAGCCTTTAATCTCATTACTGGAGAAGAAAAGGTAGGCAGATCTCTGGGAATTTGAGGCCACCAGGGCTACATACATAGGAAGATCATATTTCCAAAATCAAAACAAAAAAAGAAAAAAACAAGCAAGCAAATAAATAAGAAAGAAAACGTTGGGCTGGGTGGTGGCACATGCCTTTTTTTGTTTGCTTGTTTGTTTGCTTGTTTTAGTTTTTTTTTTGGAGACAGGGTTTCTCTGTATTGTTTTGGAGCCTGCCTGTCCTGGAACTTGCTCTGTAGATCATGCTAGCCTCAAACTCAGAGATCCACCTGCCTTGGCCTCCCAAAAGCTGTGTACCACCAACGCCTTGGCTAGTGGCACATGCCTTTAATCCCAGTGACTTCAAGGTGAGTCTGGTCTACAAAGTGAGTTCCAGAAGAGCTAGGACTGTTGCACAGAGAAACCCTGTCTAAAAAACCAAAACCAAAACCAAAAACTTACAATTAAATAAAAATAATTTTAAAAAAGGGGGGCATCATGGATTATGGATATTATGCATTCTAGAATTTAAGAGATGGGGGCCAGCTAGGACTATATAGTGATAATCTGTTTCAGAAAAAAAGCAAAAAGACTTTCTACATGCTCACTAGCTAGGCATATAAACAAAAGCCAATAAAAACAAAGAGAGGAAAACCTTGAAAATATCTGGATAGAAGAAAAGTAAAATGAATTTTAGTAGTATTGGAAAGTGGAGAATTACTGTTCTCTGTTGTAACTCATGTGTTTTTCTCCCCGAAGGCAAAGTCTCACTATGTAGCTCTGGCTGTCCTGGAACTTACTATGAAAACCAGGCTGGACTAAGACTCACAAGAAATCTGTCTAGCTCTGCTTCCCAAGTGCTGGGATTAAAGGTGTACACCACTACACCCAGCAGGCTACTAAAGTCTATAAGGATGCTGAGCCTAAAGAAAAAAAGAACAGGTATCATGTAAGTGTGATCATTAATAAGCTTAACAGTTTTGAGGAATTAAATCCTCAGAGAAAAAACAATTATCCTTGTGTGCTAATGTTCTTTTTTTGTTTTTTCAAACTGTCTGGCGAGGCTGGTCTCACCTGAGTACAGAAATATAGGTGGACACACCACACCAGGCTACGCAAGTTTACCTGTTCTGCTTCCACATAAATGAGAGGGAATCCCATTTGTTTGGTCCAGGTATTCATCACAGCAGCTATAGGTTTACCACTGGCATTTTCCAAACTTTCCCAGAGATCCTCTAGAAGGTAAATGAAAACAATAACCTGAAATGTGTATGTATATATATATATATATATATATATATATATATATTTTCTAAATAAACCTACAATGCCCCACCTACAATGCTATGATTAAGTAAATTTTACTATAAAGAGTATTTCTGGGGACTCACTTGGTGAAGTTCTTGCCATACCAGCATGGTGTCCTCAGTTCAGATCTCCAGCACCGACATAAAAAATTGGGGCTGAGAGCCAGGTGGTGGTGGCGGCCCACTCCTTTAATCCCAGCACTCCAGAAGCAGAGGCAGGTGGATCTCTGTGAGTTCAAGACCAGCCTGGTCTACAAGAGCTAGTTTCAGGACAACAGCCTCCAAAGCCACAGAGAAACCCTGTCTCAAAACACGCCCCCCCCCCACACACACACAAAAAAAAGGCAGAGCACAATTGAGGAAGATATTCAACACTGACCCTTGGCTTCTGCATGCACGTATGTGCATACACACTTCAAAACAAACACAGAAAACAACTGGACTTTTATTCTCTGATGAACTTAATCATTATGGTGAAGAAAATTAAAAATTATCATAAATAAGACAAACAGATTAAGTTCAAACAAAAAGAACCAGAATCAAAATCACAAAAGAAATGTTTTGTTTTGTTTTGTTCTGTTTTTTTGGTTTTCCGAGACAGGGTTTCCCTGTGGCTTTGGAGGCTGTCCTGGAACTAGCTCTTGTAGACCAGGCTGGTCTCAAACTCACAGAGATCCACCTGCCTCTGTCTCCCAAGTGCTGGGATTAAAGGCGTGCGCCACCACTGCCCAGCTCACAAAAATATGTTTAAGCTCATTAAACATTCACTGACAAACTTAAGGCCATTACATCCATTCAATTAACCTAAGTTAAAATACATATTCAATGTTGCTGGGCATGGTACGAACGGGCGTGCACACACACACTTGCATGAGGTATGGATTTCAACATGAAGGAAAAATAAAGAGACTAGCACAATATTTGTGGCAAACAGCTTCAGCTTTAGCTTAAGAGATGGAATAGAGCTGGGCAGTGGTGGCACGTGCTTTTAATCCCAGCACTTGGGAGCCAGAGGCAGGTCAATCTATGGGTTTGAGGCCAGCCTCATCTACAAAGCTAGTTCCAGGACAGCCAGGACTACACAGAGAAAACCCTGTATCAAACACACACACACACACACCTCCACTCCTCCCCCCCAAAGAGAGCAAATCTACAAGTACTGGGTTAGTACGCAATCACAATTTTTTTTTTTTCCCGAGACAGGGTTTCTTTGTGACTTTGGAGCCTATCCTGGCACTTGCTCTGGAGACCAGGCTGGCCTCGAACTCACAGGGATCCGCCTGCCTCTGGCTCCCAAGTGCTGGGATTAAAGGTGTGCACCACCAACGCCCGGCTACGAAATCTTAATAGATCTTAATAGATCACAAAGTCATTTGGGGAATAACAATGAGGAAAGACAGATAGCAATGAAATTTTTGCAAGAGGATGAAAACCATTCATGGTCATCCAAGTATATAGGAATACCAACTATCTTTCATAAATAGCTGGGATAAAAACATTAAACAGTAGATTTTGCTATTCAGAGTGTGGTCTGTGATCTGTGAATGACTCATCATAAAATGTCCCTTCCTGTATAGAATGAAAAAATTTTATCTCCATCACCCCTTTGTCTGGTGTTGGGGAACCAACCCCAGGCTTTATCTGTTTTTCTATCTCAAGTTATTAAATATTATCTTTGAGGTCAGAGTGCAGATCAGTCTGGTAGAGTATGTGCTTTGCATGCATGAACCCCCTGGACTGATCTCCAGCATGATAAAAACGGTAAAGAAGGATGGTGGTAAAAATTAAAACAAAAAGAAAAATGCAGAATTACCTGTTGCAGCATTCTTTTGTTGGAACTTTGTTAAATACATGTTCATTCCTTTCTTAAAGTCCTAAAAAAATACAATTTTTAAATTCAAGTGAGTTAGACCTCAGAATTGATAGTAGATATGCACATTAGTCAGAAGTAAATGTACTTAATGTGTAGTGGTGCAGCACTTGGGAGGCAGAGGCAGACAGATCTTTTTGTTTGAGGCCAGTTTGGTCTACAGAGTAGTTCTGTGATAGCCAGGGCAACAAAGAAACAAAGGAGAGAGGAGAGAGGGAGAGAGGAGAGAGGGAGGGAGGGAGGGAGGTAGAGAGAGAGAGAGAGAGAGAGAGAGAGAGCGAGAGAGAGAGAGAGAGAGTAAAGCTCCGTGCCTGCCTGCCTGCCGCCATGCCCCCCACAATGGCGGTGGACGGTATTCAAGCCTCGTTAAATGCTTCCTTCCACAAGCTGTCTTGGTCATGGTGTTCTGTCACATCAATAAATTATTTATGATTACAGACAGAGCATCACTATGTAGCCCTGGCTGCTGGCTTGGAAATTGCTCTGTAGACCAGGCTGACCTTAAACTCACAGAGATCTGCCTGCTTCCCCAGCGCTGGGACTACATGCCCAATTGCTTTTAAGTTTTATACCAGCTTCCCATTCTTACCACAAACATCTTAACTTGCATATCATTCTTCTAGGAACTCAACCAATATAAGAGGGAAAAAATTTAATTAATTTCTAAAAATTTAATTTAAAAAATCAGAAAAACTCTGTGCATGCTTTAAAACTATGATTGCAGGAGTGATAGATTTTTTTTTTTTTTTTTTTTTTTTTTACCTTATCGCCGATGTAGTCATGTAGCATTCGGATAACAGATGCACCTTTGCTATACGATATAGCATCAAATATCTCATCAACCTCAGATGGATGGCCCACACTGACCTGGCAGACAGTGTGATTCAGGGTTATGACAGGAAGCAGACAGCCTGTAACACTGAATTACATAAAAAGCTTTCTAGGAAAACCCTTCTAACTCTATTCCTCTGCCTTTAACTTACTCAGAAAAACATATGACAATGCTCAAAAAAGTAAGAATAACTTAAACATGACAGATTATACAACATAATCCCTGTTGCAGTTCCCAGCTTAGGTTTTAACCCCGATTCTCCTTTAATGAAAGGCAAGCTATTAAAGTTCCATTTATTCTTGAGTGTGTCTGGAGAGAACATCATGATGAAAACAATTTGATTTCTTTCAAAAATTATAAAGGTTTAGAATAGCTCTTCTCAAGACTCCCTTTTTTGGATATCAGATATCCTACATATCAGATATTTACATTGATTCCTAACAGTAACAAAATTACAGTTATGAAGTAGTAACAAAATAACTATAGTTGGAGGTCTCCACAACATGAAGAACTGTATTTGAGAGTGACAGGATTAGGAAGGTTGAGAACCACAGGTTGAACAATGGTTAAATACAAAGCAGGATTATAACTCCAGGTCTTTGGATACAAAATTTATAACCTACAAGAGCTAGCTAGCAATGTATAGTAGTGCACCTCTTAGCTCTTAGGAAGCAAATACAGGAAAACCACCCATGACTTTCAGGCTAGCCTAGGCTACATAGTGAGTTTTAGGCTAGCCAGGGTCACAAAAACAAAATTTTATCTCAAAAATTAGCAAATGGGTGCTAGAGAGAGCACCAGCTGCTCTTCCAGAGAACCCGGGTTCAATTCCCAGTATCCACATGTCAGCTCACAACTGTCTGTAACTCCAAGATCTGACACCCGCACGCAGACATATATGCAATGTACGTAAAATTAGTTTTTATAAATGTGTGTTAAAAAAATAGTGCTTACAAGACGGTCCAGTGGGTAAAATAGCACACAAGCCTGACCAGTTAGATCCTCAAAATTTGCAGTGGGGCTGGGCAGTGGTGGTGCATGCCTTTGATCCCAGCACTCCAGAGGCAGAGGCAGAGGCAGGCAGATCTCTGTGAGTTCGAGACCAGTTTGGTCTACAAGAGCTAGTTCCAGGACAGCCTCCAAAGCTACACAGAGAAACCTTGCCTCAAAACCCTCACCTAAAAAAAAACTTACAGTGAAGAGAACAAACTCTCAAAAGTGGTCCTCTGACACACACACACACACACACACACACACACACACACACACACACACAGAGGCATGTGTTTACATCAACATAAAAAAATAATAATAAGTGAAACAGGTGTGGAAGTGTACTTCTTTAATCCCAGTACTTGGGAAGCAGAAGCAAGTGGCTGAGTTGGAGGTCCAGCCTGGTCTACAGAGTGAGTTTCAGGACAGCCAGAACTACATGAGGAAACCCTCTTTTGAAAAACCCAAAAGAGAAAAGAAAACAAAACAAAACAAACAAACATACATACATACATACATACATACATACATACATACATCCCACAATCTCTTAATAATTGACAAAGCTTTAAAAAAGAAAAAAAAAAGAAACTCCCAAGAGGACAGGCATTGATGACACTGAACTATGTCGAATGGTTGAATACAATAGTATTGTTCAACAGACGTGGTGGTTTTCTCATTAAAAACAAAAAAAATGCCCATAGTTCTTGCCTCTACAAAGACAAATTTATTCCCTACCTTAAAGAGAAATGCTATTTAGAACTTATTCTTGTCAGTTTTAAGCATGAGCTAAAAATAAACAAATCATCCAGGGGAAATCACCCATGCAGTTTTCTTTCTACTTCAGAATCCTAAGCATCTTGAGATGAAATAAATTACTTATCCCACTAAAATGGTTGGAAAGTATAGCTCACTTCAATAGGATGGCTGTTATCTAAGGCGTCAAGTTCCTGGGCACGAGTATAATCTGCAGAAACAAACTGAGTCCAGATATCGTACTCTGGAAAGCAATGGTCTACACAAAGATACTCAATCCAGGATGCAAAGCCTTCATTCAACCACAGATGAGTCCACCATTCCTAAAAAGAAAAAGGTAGAAACTAGTGAAGGAAGCAAAGTAACAGTCATTCCATTTTTGAGAAACATGTCTACCTTCTATTATACTTGAAAATCTGTAATTTAAAGGAAATGCCAACTGGTGATAACATGGATAAGGACCATCTTACTGCCAGAAGTAAAAGGGAGGAAGGAAGAGTCTGAACTGTACAGAAAGGTAAAACAGAGCACACAAAGATGAAACCAGACATAAAAATCTCACCGTGAAAAAAAAGTTTGTTATTTATTTTTTTCAATTTGTGCATTTTTATTTCATGTGCACTGGTTTTTTGCCTGCATGTATGTTTAAGTGAAGGTGTTTGAGCCTCTGTTTCAGCAGTTGTGAGCTGCCATGTGAGTATTAGGAATTGAGCAGGGGTTCTCTAGACTGCTGAGTCATCGCTCCAGCTCCTAAGGGCTATACTCTTACAATCTCAGAATTTGGGAGGATCACTTGTCTGAGTTACAAAGTGAAACCTTGTTACCTGGCCCTACCAAAGAAAAGGTTTTGGCCAGGAATAGTAGTATATACCTTAATGCCAGTACTTAGGAGGCAGAGACATGCAGTCTCTAGAAATTTTGGGCTACTGAGGTTTACATAGTAAGTTCTAGGCTAGCCAGGGATTCACAGTGAGACCCTTTCTCAGAACAAACAAAAACCCACAAAACAACAATAGAAAAACACAACAAAAACCAAAGAGAAGGAGGGGGAAGAGAAAAAAGAAAAAAAAAATTAGTTAAGCAAAGAATGAGCAAAAGAGAAGGAGGGGGAAGAGAAAAAAGAAAAAAAAAATTAGTTAAGCAAAGAATGAGTCTCAGGGCTGAAGAGATGGCTCAGCGGTTAAGAGCATTGACTGTTCTTCCAGAAGACCCAGGTTCAATTCCCAGCACCCACATGGCAGCTTACAACTGTCTGTTACTCTAGTTCCAGAGGATCTGTTCTCTCTCCCCCAATGCACATAAAATAAATGTTAAATTATTATTTAAAAAAAAAAAAAAAAGAATGAGTCTCACTCATTCTCACCAACTCACTGCCCAGCAAGAACAATTTATTAAGTTCACTACAACTGGACATCAGGCTGGGCAGAAAACTGAGTACTGCTTACAGCCAAGAATTTCTCTTAAAAAAACCCAAGCCAAACCACAGTTAACAGGGCCAAATGAGAAACTTGAAAATTATTCACACAATGACTAGGACAAACAGTGACTTCAGTTTCTATTTCTAAATAAATAGAAAAGGCCTTATAAGGGTTGTATAAATTTAACAAAAATGTCATGGCAGGAAGTAGCTAAAAATGATATTTAAGTATTTATGAAACAGAAAATTCACATCTGTTAATGAGAATGCATAGTAAGAATAAAATCAGCAACTGGTAAGATACCATTGGGGGGGAGGGGGTCCCAGTTTACCATGTTGAAATGGCAACAGAAATTAATAGCTATTCTGGTCTAGAAACATTAAACCTTTTTATTCCATTTATACAGGGGTAACACTATTAAATATGTGAGGTCTTATCTATATGGGTTTAACCACAGAAACTAATAAGGAATTCTCTGTATAATAAAAACTAATGGGTAACTGATGAAAAAAAAATTAGGAAACATTTTTTTAGAACACAACAGTTTAATTTTCACTGAAGTGAACTTGATTAAATCTCTTAGGAGAGTAGTATATGAATCCAATACAGAGGCTAGAGAACTTTTGTTGAATAATAAAAGGGCACTTAAACAGTTTGAAAAGATCAAACATTTTTAATATTAAGTAATAAAGGCTGTGCCATATAAGTGTTAGTAAGCCCCTGGTTCAAAGCTACTGAATATCAAACCTTTGGAACGACTGGCATCTAATAAAGATAGTTACATAAGCACAGTAAAAAGTTGCTTCAAAACAATAAGTATATAGTCCCTCTGCTACAGTTTACTGCTGGCCATACATTATCATATTTTCTCAAAGCTGAGCAAAAATATTTGGTAGGAAGCCATCTGTGTTGGCACACACCTTTGATCCCAGCACTTGGCAGAGGCAGACAAATCTCTGTAAGTTTGAGGCTAATGTGGTCTACAGAGCGAGTTTCAGGACAGCCAGGGCTACACAGAGAAATCCCATCTCACAAAACCAAAAAACAGAGAGAGGAGAGAGAGGAGAGGAAAGGGAGAGGGGGAGGGGAGGGGGAGAGGGAGAAGAGAGAGGACAGAGAGGAGAGAAGAGGATAGAGAGGAGAGAGAGGGGGGCAGATTTGGTAGGAAGTAGCAGCTGCATTATAAAAACAATACTAAGCTAGGAGTGGTGGTGTAGGCCTGTGATCCCAGCACTTGCAAGGCTTCAAGGCAGAGGCAGGAGAACCTCTGTTAGTTAGAGACCTTGTCAGATGGATATAATGAGTTTCAGGACAGCCAATATTATATAGAGACTCTGCCTCAAGAAAAAAAAAATCAAAAAAGAGAGAATACAATTCTTACACACATTTGAATACAGGCATTAACTCATATAGTTCCAATGAAATTACATTAAAAATAAAAAAATTTTAACCCACAATGAAAGTTTTACATTTACAAAGAAGAGTGGAAGAGCTTATTTTCAAGGAACCGACAGACTTTCTTTAGAAAAGCTTTCAGCTTAGTCACAGTTGAAACACAACTCACTTTCTTGCTCATTCTTAATTTATGGACTTAACGAACATGCAAGTCAGGTTCAGTTCTTTACCTATCAAAAAATTCTTTCACTACACAGACGCCTGTTTATTAAACTCTGTATTTCAAAACACTAACATAATTAGTTCCCACAGATAGAATTTTATTTATACTAAAGGTGAAACATCAGGATTAACAGAAAATACATATGGTAACTGAAAACTCCAATTAGCTGGGTTTAAATACAACTTTATTCTGTAGATTTTAAAAAAGCTTTTATTTCATCAAACTTTATCTTATTACAATGACTCTTAACAACCACTTTAACTTAATAAAGGTAAGTTGAGTTTAAACATTTCTTTTCAACTAGCAAACTACCTAACAGAGATAACTCAAGAAACTATAGTTAGCCAGGACTCTCACTGCACAATTCATTCCTCTTTGTCTAAGACAAATTTTTCTCTCACCCACCCAAATTAGTATCTTAACATTCCCTATTTGAAAACAAATTGTAGAAGTTTACCAAGCATTTCCTGTTAAACAAACATGTTCTCACCTCTGTTCTTATAAATTTCTCTCTTCCCTCACCCCCTTTCTAAGCTAGGCAATCTAAGGGCCTTCAGCATGTTGGGCAAGTACCTAAACCACTGACCTATGTGCCTAGCCCTGATAAGTGTTTTTGAAAAACAGACCTTTTAAAAGAAAATGTTTCTTGTTTTGTTTTCTGAGACAGAGTTCTCTGGATCGCCCTGACTGTACTGTAACTGTAGATCAGGCTGGCCTCAAACTCAGAGATTTGCTGGCCTCTGCCTCCCAAGTGCTGGGACTAAAATGTGTGTGCCACCACCGCCCAGCTTAAAATAAAATGTTTCTTTTTTTGTTTTGTTTTCTTTTTTCGAGACAGGGTTTCTCTGTGTAGCTTTGGAGCCTGTCCTGGCACTCTCTCTGGAGACCAGGCTGGCCTCGAGCTCAGAGATCCGCCTGCCTCTGCCTCCCAAGGGCTGGGATTAAAGGGTGCGCCACCAACACCCGGCTTAAAATAAAATGTTTCTATCATCCAATTTTTTGGCACAGTATCATAGCCAAGTTTGAAACAGTGAGGTCAAAATTATGTGCAGCAGGACATAGATGGATATATTTGAGCACTTAAAAATATTAAATACCATAGTAACAAGATTTCCAAACCATTGATGGGCGAGTTCATGTCCCACAACCAGAGCAACCCACTGGCGTGATGAAGAACAGGAGTTTTTTGGATCAATAAGCAATGCGGTCTCCCTGTATTTAAAAAAAGAAAAAGTGAAATGGTAAAAGCCTTTCAATGAAAGCAGGCATACAGAAGGAAGCTCAGGCAGTAAGTCATATATCTTTATGTTAGGCGTTAGCAGTATCAAGTAAATGTTTTCTTAGCATTTATAAGATTAGTAAGAATCCAGGAAGACTGAAGACTACGTTGGTAGACAACAAAAGATAAAAGACATACAAGTTTATCCTGTGCAGTCTGCTAACTAGGAAGACTGTGCTAATCAGGGAAGATATATAAAGGGGTAGCAGCGGAAGACATTCTACATTCTAAAGTCCCAAAAAGGACATGGAATAAGCTATGCAAAGCTAAAAGGCAATTGAAAGTGGAAGGAAAATTTGTTTATAGACTCAGCCTCAGAAATTATGTAACCCACATTTGTGTTGTGCTGACAGACACGTAAAAATCTGCCTAGAAAACACAGAATCAGGGAGGCTCTTCAAGTTGGGTAATAGCTGTGTAACTGCCGAGAAGGAACCACACCAAACAAGATACAGCCAAGAACACAGCTAAAGATGGTACAAGTGCCAAATGCTCCCCTTAAAAATACTGTATCCTTAGTAGCACCAGGAAGGGAGTCCATCAGCAACCTTCAAATATTCATGACACTCAGAAGAGGCAGAAAAATATACCGTAGAGCATAAAGCAAAAGCACTCAACTAGTAATAGGATGCAACTGGCGATTTGAAAGTGGGCAGGGTAATGTGTCATTAACATACCTATAAGTAACAAGGCCCCAGTTCTCCATGGCACCTTCATAAAATAAATATAAACATTTATTGATATATATGCATACTTTTCCTCAAAAATCACAAAATTCAAATAAAGTCATACAATTCAGCAATAAAATGAAATTTACTTTACCAGCTGCAAAGTCAGCAATAGCAATGAGATCAATTTTAGGTAGAGGATAAGGAACATTGAAGTAGTCTTTATAAAAAGGCAAGGTTTTAGCAGCAACCTAAAAGTACAAACAAACAAAAATATCCTATGAATACTTTATTATGAGTCACGAAGAAATCCACAAAGGAAACCCGTTTTAAGCCAAACTATCATAAGCTTCTAAAAACCCCACGGTACCCTAGTTCCTATGAAGATTGCATTGGCCACAACTTTTGTATCACTGGTCAAACTCCAACCCATTTATAACTTGGTGTGAACAATACATCTATATATTTTCATGGCAATTCCACATAAAAACAAAATTCTGTTTTTATATTTTCTCTCTCTTTTATCCAGAGCCAGAGATTTGAACCCATGACTTTATGCACTGATAAACACACACTCTATCATACCCCCAGCCTTCAAGTTCCTATTTTCTAGATCACTATCTTATGAATTGTTAATACAACATCAAGGTTGGAATATCCAAAATCCTAATGAAAGTATCAAAACAACTTTCTAATTAAATCACAAATAACTGTATTAATTGATCAGAAATGTAAATTCCCCAACCTGGAGTTATGGACTGTTGGAACAATCCTCTTCAAGGACATTTACCTCAAGTGCAAATTTTCCTTGCTCTGCTTTGCCAACTGGGGTGTAAACACGGACACACACACCGTCTTTTGACCTTGTTTCTACAAAGTCATATTCACCCACAACAAATGCCACCAGATACGTAGACATAACAGGTGTTCGGGCAAACTTCACTTCTACTAAATTTTCATCATCAGGATATGGTTTCCGGTCAATTACATTCTTAAAGGAAAAATAAAAACATAAAACAAAAACAAAGTAATTTTTAAGGAGATTTATATTGTTATTTTAGAGTGAATGGTAGGCAAAAAGTATAAGCTTGAGTATTTTTCCTTTTCCTTTCTTAGAATGCTTATTTTAATCCCAGTTCATCAGTTTTTAATATCGTGAAGACCTTTCCTCTTAGAAGGAAAATGATCTGATAAAGTTCTTTTTCCTCAGCAGGGCAGTGGTGACACACACCTTTAGTCCCAGCACTGAGAAGGCAGAGGCAGGTGGATCTCTGAATTCTAGGACAGCCAGGGCTACACAGAGAAGCCCAGTCTGGAAAAACCAAAAGAAAAGAAACAGACCTTAAATTTATTCATGTTAAAATGTAAATGAAAATTCTTTTTTTAAAAAATATTTATTTATTTATTTATTTATTTATTTATTTATTTGAGTATTCTGTCTTTCTGTACATCTGCATGACTGAAGGGGGCATCAGATCCCTTTATAGATGGTTGTGAGCCACAATGTGGGTGATGGGAATTGAACTCAGGTCCTCTAGAAGAAAAACTAGTGCTCTTAACCACTGAGCCATCTCTCCAGCGCCGTAAATGAACATTCTTTTTAGTGTATTAGTCTCTAGGAATATCTTTGAAGAAACTGGTATTTTCTTTTTGGGGTTTTGAGACAGGGTTTCTCTGTGGCTTTGGAGGCTGTCCTGGAATTAGTTCTTATAGACCAAACTGGTCTCGAACTCACAGAGATCCAACTGCCTCTGTCTCTGGAGTGTTGGGATCAAAGCCACCACCAACTGGCTTAGAAAATGGTATTTTCTATGGAATTCTCTGCACCGATAAGTAGGCAAAAACTAGATGTTTTTGTTTGTTCACTTTTGGCTTTTGGGAAAGGGTCTTACTCTGTAGTCCAGCTGGCCTGAAACTCACTATGTTGTCTAAGTTGGCCCTGAACTTGCAGCAATCTTTCTGCTTCAATCTCCTAAGTGCTGAGATAAGCATGAGTCACCGTGCTAGTACCTATTAGTTCTTTACAGCCAGAGTCCAAGCTCCTGGTTAGTATATATCTTAAACAAGGTGGTGTTAGACAATACCATTTAAATAATGAAAGCTTATCTTATCAATAACAGTAAAGATAGCATATTAAAAATACACTCAGTCAAAAATCTAAATATGCTTTTTTTGTATAGCTATCACTTCAAGGATTTAATGAGAAAGCCATGACTCTTATTTCAGGTAATATATAAAGGTGGTGCCTTACTTAAATCTTTCAATTTTGAAAAGTAGATCATCTGGGCATTGTGCCTCATAAACATAATCCTAACACCCAAGAAGATGAACAGAAAGATGGTTGTGAGTTCAAGGCCAGTTGGGCTACAAAGTAAATTCCAGGACAGCCTTGGATACAGTGGACCCTGACTCAAAAAAAAAAACAAAAATTTAAGAATCTTGTCAGTGGCTCTAATACAGAAGTTCTTCCTTGAGGAGAAAAACAATCAGAAAGCAACGAAGGAAAACAAGACTTACTCATAAGTGAAAGGAGTAAAGGCTTCACCTCTAGGAATGAAGGGACCAGACCCTCACTCAGCCCCCTGCTTTAGCAGCCATGACAGACAGGCTACAGAAAAGACACATAGGCCTCTGACACAAGAAATCCCCAGATCCTCTGGCCTCCCAGAGCCTAGGACCAAAACTGAACACAAAGAAACTCCAGACTCCTCCCCCCACCCCCCCAGCCTACAAGATACTTGGTTCCTCGGAACTGTTTGGCCATAAAAGAAACTCCAGGGGAGACCAAAACCTCCCCTATAGTCTCCAGGATACAGTTCTGAAAACTATTGGTATGTATGAACAACAGGCCACCTGCAAGAAACAAGACAAAGCCATAGAAACCACAGAATATTCCCTCTCAACATTGACCAATAAAAATAATTGGTACACAGGTATTTCATGCCAAAATACGACTTTGAAAAATTCTCCTGATTGTTCCCAAATGTCAACCAATCAGAAACCAACCCATACCTACTTGTGTAATGCTGTAACTTTTGTCTTTAAAACCTAGCAGTAGACAGGGAACTTCACTCCCTCTGGAGGCTGCTGTGTTGGCTAGCCAGATGGGTTCCCTGTCATGGTTGGATGAACAATAAATGAAACCTCACTTTTGCACTTTGGTGGGTCTGTCTCCCTGGCGGTCTCTGGGGATCTTTGCAACTTGGGCACAACATAAAGGAAACTAACAGTAACGCTTCTATTATGTGGTAAGCATTATGCTAGGTGATTTCACATTTGTCCATTTAATAAAGCAAACATACCAAAGACTATTAAAAGTTGATTAGCACATACATACCATGTTTGATAAAGCAACTCTGTCTTTAGGAACAACCAGCGAGATATCAAAAGTTGCTTTGATAGCAGGCTCATCCCAGCAAGGAAAAGCCCTCCGGGCATCAGTAGCCTTAAGGAAAAAACATAAACTTAGATAAATACCATTAAATTAACCTCAGAGACTGTTTCATAAAACATCTGCCATTTTACTATCATTCATTCACTAGTTTAGTCAATAATGTTTTCTTTCTTTCCTTTTTGTAAAAATTGTATTTAATGTATATAATGTTTTTAGTGGATGTATGTTTGTGCACCATTTATACCTAGCACCTTCTGACTCCAAGAGGGTGTCAGATACTCTGGAATTAGAGTTACAGATAGTTTTTGAGTATCCATGTGGGTATTAGCAATTGAATGTGGGTCCTCTTGAAGATCAGTCTGTGGCTCTTAACCCTTGAGCTATCTCTCCAGCTCCTTCCTTCCTTCCTTTTTTTTCAGTACTGAGAACTGAACACAGGACCTCACTTATAACAGGCAAGCCCTCCTCTACTGATCCCTATGCCCAGCCTTCAAATATTTAATTTCTGCTCTGCCAGGAAATGAGCTAGGTGCTGACTACAAAGTAAATACAATGCTGCTACCACTGTCACACTAGCAATTAATTGGGAACTATTCTCTTAAATAACTTTACCAATAGTGTAGACACGATACAAACCACAGACTGTTTAATGCCATGCTGTAAAGATTCAGATTAGGGAAAATATGAGAGAAGGTGCCTGGCTTTTATTTTAAAGTAAAAATTAATACAGAAATAAAAATATGTTGGATATTGTAATAAATAAATAAAATATTCCCAATCTTTGATGTACTCTGTTCTTTAGAATGAGGAGAATAAAAACAGATGTTCTATCAAATTTGAAATAAGTCATTTTTTAAAACTGTCACTATCTGGCCTACTTAGAGACCTCAATCTTTTCTATAAAAAATGAAAATGGGTCTAGGGAGAGAGCTTGGTCGTAAAGTGTGGACTGAGCAAACAGGATTATATTCCATCTCAGAACCTATGCTTGAAGTGGTACTTGTGACCCCAGTGCTGGAGAAGTAGGGATGAGAAAAGATACCCAGGTCTCCTTGGCCAGCTGGTTGAGCCTAACTGAAACTCTTTTTGGCTTGTTTGGTGGCTCACAACCATCCGTTATGAAATCTGGTGCCCTCTTCTGGTGTGCAGATATACATGGAAGCAGAATGTTATATACATAATAAATAAAATCTTAAAAAAAAATTCTTTGCGGGGCTGGAGAGATGGCTCAGAGGTTAAGAGCACTGACTGCTCTTCCAGAGGTCCTGAGTTCAATTCCCAGCAACCAAAGGGTGGCTCACAACCATCCGTTATGAGACCTGGTGCCCTCTTCTGGTGTGCAGATATACGTGGAAGCAGAATGTTGTATACATAATAAATAAATAAAATCTTTAAAAAAAAAAAAAAATTCTTTGGGGATGAAGATGGCTGGTTAAGAACACTGACTGGTCTTCCAAAGGACCCAGCATCTACAAGTCTGCTTACAACCACTTGTAACTCCAGACCCAGTGGTTCCAACACCCTCTTCTGGACTTCACAGGCACTGTATACACATGGTATACAGATAAATGTGTAGGAAAACCACCATACATATAACAAGTCAATTAAATTAAAAAAACAAACAAAACTGCAACTGTCTGCTTTCCATGCTAACTTTTGGCAAGTGATAGATTCTTGGGAGGAGCAGTAATTGCTTTCAGCTGTGTACCAAATGGAATGCCCACCAGGCTTCAATAGATAGTTCCAACTCTATGGCCACACACACAGTCCTGGTTAAAATGAGCCAGGGCTATAAACATGGGAGGGGTTAAGAGCATGCAGTGCTCTTGCAGAAGACCTGATTCTATACCCAGCACCTATGTCAGGGGCCTCACAACCTGAGCTCTGTGGGCACCTCAACACATGCACACTCTGAATTCAGAGTCACAAAGTAAGGCAAAAAGCATGAATGGGAGAGAGGGAGCTGGAGTGGGAGGGAGATAAAAAAAGAGGGAGGAATATACTATGCACATGTATGAAACTGTCAAAGAACAAATTTCATTAACCCCTCCCCACCTCCCCCCATACACCCAAACCAGCAGAAGCGCTATGCCCCAGCACTTGGGAGGCAGGGGCAGGTGGATCTCTGAGTTCAAGGCCAGCCTAGTCTACAGAGTGAATTCCACGACAGTTAGGGCTACACAGAGAAACACTGCCCCCCCAAAAAAAAAACCCCAAAAGTGTGAGTTTTTGGGGTAAGTGGGAAAAGGAGTTAAACCCCAGACAATCCACAGCCAGGTACAGTCACCATTGACAATCATCCTCACCATGCCTTAAAAATTTGAGGAAATCAAAGACTTTCTGCTCAAGGCCAGTGGAAGGATGCCAAATTCATCAAGATCAAGAACAAGGATAATGTGAAGGAGAAAACATATATATATATATATATATATATATATATATATATATATTATCTCTCTCCCACACATAGCCTTTTTTTTTTTCTCTCTTTCTTTTTTCTTTTTTTTTTTTTTTTTTTGATTTTTCCAGACAGGGTTTCTCTGTGTAATAACCCTCACTGTCCTGGAATTGTATGTAGAGTAGGCTGGCCTCAAACTCACAGAGATCCGACTGTTTCAGCCTCCTGAGTACTGGGATTAAAGGTATGCACCACCACAGCCTGGACCCTCTTTTTTTTAATTTTTAAGTTTTCTTTCTTTCTTTCTTTCTTTTTTTTTTTTTAAGATTTATTGTTGGGGATAGAGAGATTGCTCAGAGGTTAAGAACACTGGCTGTTCTTCCAGAAGTTCTGAGTTCAATTCCCAGCACCCACATGGTGGCTCACAACCATCTGTAATGAGATCTGGTGCCCTCTTCTGTCATGCAGGTGGTATACATGCAGGCAGAACACTGTGTACATTAAATAAATCTTTTTTAAAAAAATTATTCTTACTTGTGTGTGCTCATACATGCAGGGTAGAGCAGGTGCCCTCAGAGAGAGGCCAAAGGATGTCAGATACTATGGAGCTGGAGTTGTTCAGTTGTCCACTGTGAGTACTAGAAACCACCAAACTCAGGTCCTCTCCAAAAGCAGACTGGACTCTTAAGCATTGAATTATCTCCTCAGCCCTAGTTATCTCCTTTACACACATAAAATAATCCTGAATATAAAATACATATTCTAGGACAGGCATAGTGGTGCACTCCTTTAATCCCCAGAAGGGGCAGGGAGTTTGAGGCCAGCCTGGTCTACTGAGCTAGTTCCAGAACAGTCAGTACTACACAAAGAAACCTTGTATTGAGAAAAAAGAAAAGAAAAACAAAAACTGAAAAAATTACATTAGTAGATGGGCATGTGTGCACCTTTAATCCTAGGACTCAGGAGGATCTCTGTGAGCTCAAGGCCAGGCTGGTATATAAAATGAGTTGCAGGACAGCTAGAACTACTTAGTGAGACCCTGTCTCAAAAACCAGAAACAATAAAAAAAAAAAAAAAAAAAAAAGCATTACATTAGTAAAGATGAACACTTACCTCAAACTGTGTGACAGCAGCATAGCGCACCTCTCCAGCAGGGGTGGTGTATTTACTTCTATAGAAACCTTTCATTTTGTCATTCAGCTCGCCAACAAAATCTATCTTTAAAGTTCCTGTACCTGTGATTAAAGATGAATAGAGATCTTTTTATGGAGATGTTAATAAATACAGGTATCATAAATATGCCCTCAAGACACTATATTCAACTGGATAATACAATGTTCAAAGCATTTCCTTTCTCAAATACTCCTTTTGGCACTGAAGAGAATACTTTAGTGACTGACTTAAATGGTAAACTAATCTTTAAGTCTGTCTAGAAAACATTTTCAGTAAGTCTCAAATGACCACAATATATGAAACAAGAATAAGAAAGACAACATTCATTATTAAATGTCTAACACATGTTTCGGTGCATGAGACTTCCAACTTTATAAAGTTGGAGGTAGTGTTCCCCTCTTGTAGGAGAGGAAGTGAGGGCTGAAAATTTAAAGTGGCTTTCTAAAGGTCATATAGTAAGTAAGCAGCAAGGATGTTTTTATCCAAAACATGCTCTCTGCCAATTATACCATGTGATTAGTCTTTTTGGTAACTTCATGCACACAAAGTAAATGCAGCCAATTATTCTACCATTAAAGACAGCATTTGTTTGATACAGATAGAAGGAATTATAGGAAAGAGCAAATATTTGATCAACTAAAGGGCATAAAATAAACTCTCAGAATCAACTCAATCATCTGAACACTAATACTAAAGAAAGAAATTACTAAATTGAAGCAAAAATGCAACCTAAATAGGTATCCATATTGTTTTAAGAGCAAATGAGGTTTTTGCCTATATGTTCGAATTTTGCCTTTATGTAGTGTTTTAACAATAGAATAAAGATAATTATATCTAGTATTCATCTGCTAAATTCAGATCATGGTAAAACAGTCCCATTCTACACTTCACAAATCAACACACACACACACACACACACACACACACACACACACACACACAGCATTTTGAAAAAATGTTGACTTTGGGCCTGATCTTTTCCACATGCCTACTTATAATAAGAACAGGAGAATGTGAGTCTAACAAATTAAAGACATGAGGAAAATGATTAGCCAATCATGCCAGACTTTCATATCCTAATATTTCAAATTGTCGTTTTGAAATACTATAAAGTAATGAATGTCACTGACTTTTTCTCCTTTGACATATCTTTTTGTATGCTCTTAAAGTCAAATTTCATGCCTAAAATTGAATTTTCTCTTTGGAAAGGTTCAAAGTCAGGTAAGTAGAAGTCTATATAACAGGCAAAGGACAAAAGGCACTGTCTCTACAACAAGTGTGTCTGCCATGTGGCTAAACTCATTTTCATACGTGTCACTAAGTGATTCTGATAGTTATTTTAAGACAGAATTTCATACTACAACAGCAAAGTAAGCACTAAGATAGTGTCACATTCTTAAAATAATTATGCTGGAAAGCAACACAACAGCTTAGCTGATGCTCAACTGGAAAGACATCTGTGATAGGTATAGTTTTAAAATTAAGACATCTGATCTGTGACATCTCAAGGGACAATGAATATGTTTTGGTGTGTGGTGTGAGCATGAACCCAGGACATTAGGAATAATGCTAAGAAGATTATCTGTTACTAAGCTATATCCCAAACTCCAGTGAATACTTTTTTCTTTAATAAGAATAGCAGATTACTAGAATAAATATTATCACAGTTTATTAATGATGCTACTAAGAATTAACTACTAGGGCAGGAGAGATGGCTCAGAAGATAAGAGCTGGCTGCTCTTTCAGAGGTCCTGAGTTCAATTCACAGCAACCACATGTTGGCTCACAACCATCTGTCATTACAGATCTGGTGCCCTCTTCTGGCATAAAGGTGTACATGCAGATAGAGCACTCATACATAAAATAAATAAATCTTAAAACAAAAAAAGTTATAACTAATGTAAAAATGTAAGAAAATTGTTTTATTCTCTATAGGAATTTAATATGTATTAACATTACTAAAGTTTTACAAAGAAAATATAATAGATTGTTTTTAAATTTCAATACTCTTAATGGGAACTGATTGATGGGAATTTTATGTTACAGTTCCACAGATGAAATTGGCAGTCTGCTTTCACTGTCAAGATGCTTTCTAATATAACTCATATTCACAGTAAATCTACTTTCAGTTTTCCTATTTGGAACAAAAGTGGGTTTAAAACTCAGAACTAAATAAGAAAGGCTGCTTACACTTTTACTTGGTTTTAAATCTCCAAGGCCATCAAACCATAACAAGATACTGACAGTGACCACTTCCAAAGAGTGGCTTACTAAACAAAATACAAAGTATTGGAAAGGATAATTACCTGAAATTCAAACAAAACACAAGTTAAATGTTTTTTAAATCATTAATAAATTAGTTTCACATTATACAATACTAATCACAAAGTTATTACCATTAGCATAAAATTTTACTGTGGGTAGAAAAAAGGGCTTTTGACAAATCTCATTTACAAATACCATGATGAATGAATCAACCGGTCTTTAATTCACACCTATTCACATGTAACTACATTGTTTCCTCAAATTAGATACTTAATTTCAATATACAACCTACTTGTGTTTGGATGTTAAACCTTTAAAAACATAATATGAAACCAGCTTACTGGCCCATACTTCTATTGGGCAGATCTCTCTGAGTTTGAGATTTGCCTGGACTACAAAGCTGAGAACTCCAAGTCAGCTACATAGTGAGACTGTGTCTCAAAAAATAAAAAACAAACAAAAAACACAAAATGATTAAAATTAAACAACTAAAATAATCACAATATCCATCAAAAGCACAAATGTTTAAAGTTTGAGTTATAATTATAAAGCTTATGTATCGTGAATTATTTTAATAAGAAATGCAGTAAGTTTATTAAATGCTATAAAAGTAAAGACCAATTTATGTAAAAGGGAAAACACTAAGAAAAACTATGTTTCTCTATATTGATACCACTTTATATGACTTTGAAAACTGTTTTCAAGCTTTTAATCCTTACAACGATTATGGATTATTAACCATAATAGAATGGTGACAGTATCAGAGATGTTTTACTTAGCTATCTGATAACTGCTACAGTTGTTAAGTTTAAAGAGACAAAACACAAAGGCTACTAAAAGCTGAAAATCATAAGATTATGGTCAATATTTACTCAATCATCACTCAAGACAAGTTCTATAATCTGACAAAAATCTGAAAAGAGCCAGTGGTGGTGTTTCACGCCTTTGATCCCACCACTTGGGAGACAAAGGCACATGGACCTCTGTGAGTTCGAGGCCAGCCTGGTTTATACAGCAAGTTCCAGGACAGCAAGGATTACACAGAGAAACACTTTCCAGAAAACAAAACAAAACAACAACAACCCCCCCCCAAAACAAAGACAGAGAGTGGCTCAGGTGACAGAGATTACAGGTGGGGTGTCTGGGTGTGAGGGCCTGGGTTCAATATCTGGTACTGTGAACAAAGCAGCAAACTAAAAAACATAATGTAGCAGAGGCAGGTCTTTGTTTGTTCTATTTATTTGTTTATTTATTTATTTATCTATTTACTTACTTATTTATTTATTTATTGGTTTTCCGAGACAGAGTTTCTCTGTGGGTTCTATTTATTTTTGAACTGGAGTATGATGCCTAGGCTGAGCGCACACTCATGGCCCATGGTACTAAAGAATAGCTGGCTGGCAAGTGATCCTCCTTTCTCCACCTCCCACCTAGCTTCATCTGGCATTTTCTGTGGGTCCTGGAGATCAAACTGAGGTTGTCAGGCTTCTCATAAGTAGCAACCTGTATTTTCTTACATGGAGATTGAATCCAAGTCCATGGGCATGATAGTAGACATTCTCGTAGTTATCTGTTTTTGTTTATTGGAGCTTGATGTTGAGCTGATTAAATTTTTTTTGTTTGTTTGGGTTTTTTTTGTTTGTTCTTCGAGACAGGTTTTCTCTGTGTAGCTTTGGAGCCTGTCCTGGCACTTGCTCTGTAGACCAGGCTGGCCTTGAACTCAAAGATCCACCTGCCTCTGCCTCCCAAGTGCTGGGATTAAAGGAGTGCCACCAATGCCCAGCTGAGCTGATTAATTTTTAGTCTTTCTTTTTACTATATATCCTGCTTGTATAGCATTTTACTTATATTCCATTATGTTTTGATATGTGGCAATTTTCTTATTCAGTTCTAAATCTTTTCTTACTTTCTTGTTTTTCTGTTTATTATTTTCGATGGAGTCTAACTAGTTTTCTCATCATGATGCTCTCATTCCAGCCTCTTAAGTAGCCAAGACTACAAATACATGCCATCATGTTTCGAGTTTTCTAATTTTCTTCTTCAATTTTTATATTTTTGCAGTACTGAGAACTACACTTGGCTTTGCACATACTAACCAAATGCTCTGCCAATTTCACTTTCCTAACAAGTTTGACTCAATTATTCAATATATGAAAAAGAAAAAGTTCTGGTTGTCCTGTGACTAACTATGTAGACCATCACCTGAAACTCACAGATCTGCCTGACTCTGTACCCCAAACGCTGGGATTACAGGCATGTGCCATTACGCCCAGCTTTGCTATTGATTTCTAATATTGTCACAGCATAAACATAGAATGTGCAGTGGTGTTCAGAACAGCCAGAGCTGTTACACAGACAAACCCTGCCTCAAAAAAGCATAATAAGAGAGAGAAAGAAAGGGAGGGAGGCAGGTAGGAAGGAAATAGTCCCTTAATGATATACACTTTTTTTGAGTGGCAGGGCTGGAGTGAAAGTTTAACGGTTAAGAACTGTGGTTGCTCTTCCAGGTGGCTGAGGTCTGATCTCCAGCTCTCACATGGCACATCATCACTTGTAAATCCAGTTATAGGGGATCTGACCATCTCTTCTGGCTTCCACTGGCATCAGGCACACACTTAGTGAACAGACATAGATGAAGGCAAAACACTCATACACACAAAATTACTTTTTGTTTTGTTTTGTTTTTTTGAGACGGTCAAACTACAGTCAGTAGGCTTGGTGACAAGTTATCATCTTGCTGGCTGAATTTATTCGTTTAATAATTTTTTCTTCCCATTTTCCTGGTCCTTTAATTTTTCTTTTTTAAATAATTTGGATTTTGGTTCTGATAGACTGGTTCTCAGTTTTTCAATTTTCTGCTTTGAGTTCTTTGGGGTTTTTTTGTTTGTCTGTTTCGAGACAGGGTTTCTCTGTGTGGCTTTGGAGCCTGGCCTGGAAATCTCTCTGTAGTGCAGGACAGCCTTGAACTCACAGAGATGCGCCTGCCTCTGCCTCCTGAGTGCTGGGATTAGAAGTATCAGCCACTACCGCCTAGTGAATTTCTTTGTTTTTTTTTACTATTGTTTGGAACATATTAAATTTTATCTTTTGAAACTTTTACTTAAAAGGAGGAAAAACTGTAAAGATGACTCAAAGTTAAAATGACTGGCTGCTCTTCCAGATGATCAGGGTTCAATTCCCAGCACCCACATGTTGGCTCACAAACTTCTTTGACTCCAGTCCCAGGGGATCCAACATCCTTTTCTGGCTACTGTGCATTCTACATGTATGCATGTATGCATGCATTCATACACACACAACTATGTTCAGGCAAAACACCCATACACATAAAAATAAATACATTTAAAAACATTTAATTCAATGGGTGGTGACCAGCACTCGGAAGGCAGAGGCAGGCAGATCTCTGTGAGTTTGAGACCAGCCTAGTTCCAGGACAGGCTTCAAAGCCACAGAGAAACCCTGTCTTGAAAAACCAAACAAAAAAGAAAAACAGTAATTGTTTTTGAAACTAGACAATAGGTATATACAAGAATAAAAGCAACAGTTCTGTAAATATTTAGACATAATCCAGACATCTACAGAGAAAACAGAGAGGAAGTGTTAAGATGGGGTCTGGCCTAGCCCAGGTTCCTCCTGATTCTCCTGTTTCTATCTCCCAAATTCTGGGATTACAGGTGTGAGCTACTATCTCCAGTTGAGTATCATTCTATTTGTACTATTTTAGAGACAGGATTCATCAATCTGAATATATACTTCAGAGTTTTAAAATTTGTATTATAATAAACACTTTATTATATTAATAAGAATTAACAAACATTTTTGTTTGTTTTTGATTTGAGACAGGGTTTCTCTGTGTAGCTTTGGAGCACGTCCTGGAACTCTGTAGACTAGGTTGGCCTCCAAGTCAGAGATCCACCTGTCTCTGCCTCCTGAGTGCTGGGATTAAAGGCGTGTGCCACAAATGCCCAACTAATTAACAAACTTTTACCGCTAAATATATTTCACTTATATTGATATGCCACAATGAATCTGTTAGCTCAGTGTTGAACAAATAATAGTTCTAATTCTTTCACCAACATATATAATATCTTACTTTTTTTAAATGCCTACACTTTTAGGCATAATACATTTTTAGTATGACTTTTCCTTAGAATATATTCATACTACAGAACTGCTGAGTCAAATGTCATGAGTACATTTGGGCTCTTTGCATGTACTGACAAGCTGGTTTTCAAAAGTAATTATATTGGTTTATCTCTACCAGCGATTACAGAGACATTTTTATCATTGCTTATCTTTCTCATTTAAGATTTTTATCAGGGCAGTGGTGGTACATGTCTTTATAATCCCAATTTCTCTGTATAACAGGCTGGCTGGTAAATTGATTTTCATATAATTTCTTCTATATAAGGCTCTGATGGTCATCTACACTCTTTGTGCTTTTATGCCAAATAATAGTAACTAATATACCAACAAATCTTCCCTTCTGTACCCTCACTAGTAAAATTTCTCTTTCTGGTTGTATATCAATCATATGTGGAGTATTCTCAGAGATTTCAACCAGGAGCAGACAGAGCTAAGTAAATGTGTTTGTTTGTTTGTTTTTTCGAGACAGGGTTTCTCTGTGTAGCTCTGGAGTCTATCCTGGCACTCGTTCTGGAGACCAGGCTGGCCTCGAACTCACAGAGATCAGCCTGCCACCAACCCCAGCAAGTAAATGTATTTTTAAGAAACAAAACTGTGCTGGGCATGGCAATGCATGCCTTTAGTCCCAACACCTGGGAGGCAGAGGTAGGTCAATGTCTGTGAGTTGGAGGCCAGTCTGGTCTACAGAGCGAGTTCCAGAACAGGGAGGGCTACAAAGAGAAACCCTATCTTGAAAAAGAAACAGTTAAATATCAAACATCTTATACTATAGTAAATGATCTTTAGTTTTCTGTTTAAGTAAAACAAAAATAGATAGAAATTTGAAACTTTTATTTTCATAACCCAGAATTTTTACAGGGAGGGAAAGTTCTGAACACTCTGTGAGCGATACTCAGGGAAGAGCCAGCATGTGTCCCCTAGGAAGCCACCATGCATGGTTTCTATAGATTTCAGAGACAGTCTCTCACCTGTCTGGAGAGTACTAGGAAAGGACAAGGTGACTTTCTCATCCTCGTTCTGATAGTTAAATCCTGTAGCGTGGATTTCTGGAAAGAAGAAAAAAAATTACTTCATAAATCTGAATACATTGAAAAGAACAAATCTAGACTTTGCAGTTAACACCTTCAACAAAATTTATACTGAAATGAATAAAATATTCTTGTTTTGTGAGATAGACAGGTCTAGCTAGACAGACCTGGTATTATGTAGCCCAAGCTGATCTTGACCTCATAGCAATAGCAATCCTCCTGCTTTATTTAGTCTTCCTTGTTTTTTGTTTTTTGTTTCTTTGTTCTTTTTTTGGTTTGTGTTTTGGAGATGAGGTCTTACTTTATAGTTCTGGCTGGCCTGGAATTCAGAGGGCCTGTGCTGGGATTAAAGCTGTGTGCCACCATACTGGGCAAAATACAACATTCTTAATATAGTAAATCAAGTTTCAATAATGAGTAAAACATGCTACTTAAAAAGAATTATATGTGGGCTGGTGAGATGGTTCAATGGGTAAAGGTACTTGCTGTACAAGTGTCTGGTACTAATAGTTCAAAGTTCTCATAATTTATCATGTAAAAGTAGGGGAGTACCAACTTCACAAAACTGGCCTCTGACCTACACATGCATATAACGAACACAGACACAAACACACACAGAGACACTCATGCACACACTTGAAGTTTTTGCAATAATTAAATTTCTTTATAAATTTGCAATCCATAGTGATGTAGGAAAATAGGGTTACTACAATACAGTTTTTGTTTCCTTTCTATTCATTTATACTGTGCTAATTTTGTGATAGGATGCTGTGTGATTATTTGATTGCATTCTGACACACCTGAGACTGACAACAAAATTTGTTTTGAATCAGAATGCAGAGCTAGCTACTAGCTGACCAAAATTAACCATAGAGGTTTTGGACGACTGAAGACAGACAGACACAGGAAGTAGTGGGGCGGTACTGAGAGGGGGTCTTGGCCCTTTTAGATGGAGGAATGAAAAAACCACTAGACACTTCTCTTGCAGTTCTCTGATCATTCAGGTTCTTACCCCAATATCTGACTTACCCCGAGTTTTTATTGATAAAGAATAATTATATAAATGCATCAATAGGGCCTTGATATGTATAGCCTAAACTGTCCTTCAATTCTCTTGCCTCAGCTTCCAGAGCTGTGATAGTTAGGCTTATGGAACTGCTTCGTTCTAATTCTTACGAGACTGTGGTATTTACTTTCTCTTATGAATCTTTAGAAGATCTAGTACACTGCCAAGAATTCACTGTTAAAAGATATCATGAGAGTCTTGCAACCCACACCTTGAAGATAGAACACAATGAAAACTCACACTTTTCTGGATTCTTTGCTCTTGGATTTTATAGAAATATAATAAATTTAAGACTCCAGTTATTTACTCTCCACCAACCAGAAAGAAGAAACTGCTTACTTTAATGCCACATAAGGAAGCTTACTTGACACACTAAGAATCGATAAACCAATTCCAAGCAACACATCCCAAGTACATCCCAAATGAAAATAATGGTTAAAGATATGGCCTTAATAAGCATGTGAAAAAAATATTCAGGATCAAATCCACAAAGACCAATTCAAACCCACTATGATCGCTATACTTAAATTACAGACACATCTAAGGGAAGCTATAGAGAAACTGAAGCTCACGTATACTTCTGATAGAATATAAAATGGTAAAAACCTGTAAACAGTTTGGAACTTTGTCAAAAGGTTAAATGTAGTTACCTTATGGTGGGACAGACCCACTCCTGTCTGTGTTCTCTCTCTCTCTCTACCTCTCTCTGAAGAACTATGTCTACACAAAGACTTGTATATGTTACAAGTCTACAAATGTTCATAATAGTTCCAATGTGGGGCTTCTGTGAATAGATAAATGTGATTAACAATGATGTTATTCAACAATAAAAAGAAATGTGGTGCTGTGCCACACACAAGATGGCTGAGTGGGTAAAGGTGCTATACCTGACAATGTGAGCTGGATTCCTGAAACCCACATGGCAGAAGGAGAAAACCAATTTCTGAAAACTGTCTGTGACCTCCACACATGGGGTGGAGTACATGCCACCTTCCCAACCAAATAAATGCATGCTGAAGACAAAGAACGGGAGGAGGAAAGGGAAAGGAAAAGAAAGCAGGGGATCAACTTTGAAAGAGGGTCTCATGCGTCCAGACTGGACTTGAGCTTGCTCTGTGACTGAAGATGACCTTAAACTCCTAATCCTCATGCCTCAATATCTCAGAGGCAGGGAGAGCTGCTCAACTAGTGATGCTCTAAGTTTTTTTTTTTTTTTTTATTGTTTGTCTTCTCATTCTTTTTCTTCCGTGAGTACCTGCATGTATGTGTGGGTAGAGCTTAGATCACATGAAGTTATCTTTCTGAACGACTCCATCTTACAATTTTTTAGGTGTTTTGGTGTGGTTTTTGTTTTTCCTAGAAAGGGTTATACTATGCAGCATTAGCTGTCCTGGAACTCACTATACAGACCAGGCCCACCTCATATTCTGAGATCTGCCTGCTCCTGCTGGGATTAAAGGCGTGTTTGAGGAAGGGTCTGTTCTCTCACTGACCTTGGAGCTGACTGATATGGTGAAGCTGGCTTTCAGAGATCCACCCAGTGCTTAGGTTACTGAAGTATGTGTGACTTGTCTGGCTTATTACATGGGTGCTGGATTAGAAATTGAAGTCTCACATGGCAGTTTACTCAATGAGCCTACCCCACTGTATGTCTTTTTTAAGCACCCTACCACCAAGCAACATCCCCAGTCCCTATGAACATGAAACTGAACATATACCAAGTTAAACAAGACAAATATAAAAGAAGTCCATATGAAATATCTAGAATAGGCAAATCTACAGAAACAGAAGGTAGATGAGAGGCTGAGGGTGTGGCTTAGTAGCAGAATGTTTGCCTTATCTGTGCAAGGCCCTGGGTTTAATTCCAAGCACCACTGAAAACAAATAAAAAAAACAACAGTCTAGACACACCTGGGATTGATAGTACAAGCTTACAGTTCTTGCCCTTAGAAGGCAGACACCAAAGAGTCAGAAGAAGCTCTAGTCTTGGGTACATTGCAAGTTAGAGGTCAGCCTGAGCTACATGAGACAACTATCTTTAAAAAATAAAATAAATAAAGCAAATGAGTGGCAGATTGAAGGGAAATGGGCAATACGTACTTTCTTCCTGGAGCTGTAAAATATTGACTGAGCCTGCTGATGGCCATACAAGGTTTGTGAATAAACTAAAAGCTATTAAATCTATACATTTTATTCAATCTTAAAATGTTTGGCTTTGGGCTGGAGAGAGAGATGGCTCAGTGGCTAAGAGCACTGACTGTTCTTCCAAAGGACCTGGGTTCAAAATCCCCAGCACCCCCATGGCAGCTCACAACTGTCTGTAACTCTAGTTCCAGGGGATCTGATACCTTCACCCTAATGCCTATAAAATAAATGTTAAATAAATTATAAAAAAAAAAGTTTGGCTTTATGAGGCATCATAAAGTTCAGGTTAGTCTGTAACTTGCAGTGATCCTATTAGCTCTTCATCTCAAATTCTGTGATTACAGGAATGGACTACCATATCCACAGCCCTGTAGAGCATTTAAACTAACTAGCAGGATTTCAAAAAAAAATTTTATATTATCGCTAAGGTTCATATATGTGTCTGTAAAACTAAAATCTTTTTCTTTCTTTCTTTCTTTCTTTCTTTCTTTCTTTCTTTCTTTCTTTTTTTTTTTTTTTTTTTTGAGACAGGATTTCTCTATGTAACAGCTCTGGCTGCCCTAGAACTCAGAGATCTGCCTGCCTCTGCCTCCTGAGTACTAGGATTAAAGGCTCGCACTACCACTGCCTGACTAAAACTAAAACCTTTACAAAGCAGTTAAGTTCAGACTTAGAAAGACCTTTCATCAATCCCTTAATGAGCACTGGTTTTATAGATATAGGAAATGAAGTTAAGGTTATGATGAAGACTTCATGACTAGACTAAATCTCAGCTGCTTTCTTGTAATTATTTCTAAAATTCCTTATGTAATCCTAAAATTGTTTCTAAATTTAAACAGATATCCAAAATTTGGTATATAGAGGATTGTTTGCTATTAGAACAAAACTAAAAACATGTTGTAAAGTGATTCCATAGAATACAAGGAAAGGCAATTATCACTTCAACTCCTAAAAATGTAAAGTTCTGCCATGTGTGACTGTACACACTAGCAATCTCAGCACTTGGGAGGCTAAGTCAGGAGGATCATGATGAATCTGAGGACAGCCTAGAATGACACGGCCTTGAATGATCAGACAAACAACAAAACAATTATTCTTTTCTCTGTGTGTGGCATGTACGTGGTGCACGTGGAGACCAGAGGGCAACACTGGGTGTCTTCCTGAACCTGCAGCTCACAGTCTGGCTATGCTGACAGGCCAATGACCTCAAAGTCCACTTTTTTGTAAGTGCTGTGGATCTGAAATCAAGTCCTCACAGCTGTCAGCAAGTACTTTACAGCTAAGCCTCCTCGCCAGCAAAGTTCTTTTCTCAGAGAAAATGGGATTCTGGTAGCTTTTAGGTACTATTGAACCAGTTTGTTCTTATAAATCTACAGAAACATTTCAAACTGGCAAGAAGTTACTAAAACACAAAAGAACAGTAATGTGAGAACAGAAATCCAATGCTGCTATTGCTATATTCCATTCGACAATACTTCCAACTGTAAGTACAACTAGGGCTATATAACTACCAAGGAGGCAAATTCCCGCTAAAGTTTCCACAGAAAAGAGTAGCCACATAAAGTATCTTGTATTATTGGAATTATACATTTTATGATGAATGATGTAAGTGAAGCATTCTGTAGCCCCAAATCAAAGTCTGATGATCTTAAGCTCAAAAAAAATCATCAAAGCAAAAATAAAAAGTGCTCAACATTATTAACCATCAAGGAAATATAAACTAAATTCACCACCATTGACCACTACACACACACTAGAGTAGTTAGCTTTATACTACAGTGTACCAAAAGTTAAAACTAATATTGTT